CAATCAAGTAAAACGAAACGAACATGACGAGAGATGTCGACGACTTAACAATTGCGTGTGTATGTAAAGAAAAGCCTCTCTTTATCATCTCGTTTGTTCGTATACCTAAGCGAAAGACATGAAATTAAGAGAATCGAAAAAAAAGGCGAGATATGTTTGACATGATTATGATAACAATCATAGGCGTACGGGCACATATTTTTAGGGGGAGCTGGACTAAATTTGCCCGAATTATATGACGTCATATGACGTATGACGTCATAGATATTCTTATGTTGTCTCTGGCCATCTCAATTGATAAGCTAAAATCATTACAATTTGCTAAGAGGATGCTACGAAAGTAACTACATTTTATTTGATATTTGAAATTTTGTCATATATAACACTAGACGCAGAAGAAATTTAGTTAGTTAAATGTGCGACGATCTAAGACTAAAAGAAATAAGATTTACGATTACGTCGCTGTCCAAAAATGTTAATTATCTTTTCCATGTCGTTCTTTAAAGTACTATTTGCATAGGCATTTATCCACTTCGTAACTAATCCATGGATATTTCTTGTACCATTCAGGCTGAAATCGTCGCACAAATGTTTCACTGCCGAATTTTCGTGCAGGATATTCACCTAATATAGGCTGTTTTGGGGCGTGCAAGGTGGAAATCTCTTCTTCATTCATACTGTTAAGGGAAACCTTTCTAGTCTGTTCATTTAGAACAGATGCTGTTGAATCTAAATCTTGTATTGCTGTTGTGTCTAGAGTGTTAGACGTCGTCGTTGATTCTGGTGTTGCAACGCGTTGTATGTTTTGATTTAAGTTAAATTCTTCGATGAACAGTGCGTCACTGGAAGTAAGATTTTCATTATCCGTGACCGTATTCAATTCTTTATTTTCTCTGAACTGCGTCAGTGGATTTAATTCATCAACATCAATAAACGTTCTCATTGGTTCCGTTTGGTCTTCGCTTATGGGCTCCTTCAAATTAATCTCAGGTAGATTTTCCTCAAAAGACCCAGTGGCTGCTAAATCTTTACTAGCACTCGATTCTGTTTCCTGTAAGGTTAGGTTATCATCCTTGGTTGTCATGTTACTTTTTACAAAGAAACCACTGACTTTGACTGCGATAAATCCGATGAATCCATCACTCGATGACACTTAACTTTTCATTATTGTGAACTCGTCGAAAGTGGACCTCCTTATAATCACTGTCAATTTCCTTGCTGCATTCCTCGCACCAAACGCGATGTCGATACGGTCGTTTACGAGACGCCATATGTACGCTTTATTAGAGCTTGGCTACTAAATGTTTTCCCCTTGTGGATAATAGTTTCCTTGAACAACAATCATAGAGTGAATGGCACTAATCTAATCAATGGAATGGACAGTGCCTCTCCATACGAAGCCTAATTTTCATGCAAAACTAAAAATCACTTTTGGGGATCGCAGCGATTGTTAATCTATATATTAATGTATAACGGATAGCGTGTGGGAGACGATTTTCGCAATTTCAAGACATTTCAAGACTTTTACTGACCTCAGCCCTTTTTTATAAATGGAGAACGTTATGTGGATAAATTTAATACCAAAAGCTTTGCTCTGATTGAAAATATCGGCGTTCGTGTTCGTTTAAAAGTTGTAAACACCGAATATATTCGTCGCAATATCGCTAGTAAATAGACCGATTTCTCGTGACGTAATTTGTTTATATTATAATGGGGCGGATGTAAAATTCTCCTATTATGTCTCAAGAAAAATTTTGCACCCAATCACTTTACGCGATTTTTTTATTTTACCTCCTGAAATTTAAGTAATTTAAACAATTTAAAAACCATCCATTAAAAGACCGTTCACGCTCAAGAACCGAAGCAGTTTATGATATAGAAATGATGTAGATTAATATTGAAAATTTAAAAACTGTAGTAAGTATCTTGCCAGAATATCATGTAAATGCTTGCCCGAATACACAAATTCTCGAGAAATTGGGGGGGCTGCAGCCCCCCCAGCCCACCCCCCCCGTACGCCTATGATAACAATTCGCTGCCATGAATGTCTTCTTTGTCATCAATTACTGCGTCATTAAAGTGTTTTTTATATATTATTTCGTTATTGAATGTTTCCTCTATAGTCGATGTCTCTCTTGCGTATCATCGTGATTTCATGAATTATTATAAAAGTTATGACAATAGCCTCAAAGGTGAACTACATGCTCCTGAACAGTATGACTGACAAGCAGTCAAGAAAGCCACCAGCTATACGAAATAGAACTAATCAATCAGAAAGAAATATTGGACGCGTTCTTGCCTTTTTGTCTGTCGGTTGACTTAGATAAGCGTTTGTTTACCACGAAATTCCATGCTTCACCTTAATTCCGTTGAAACCTCAAATGGTGTGAAATAGTGGCGCAATATTACAAAGTTACAAAGTGCATGAAATGCAAAGCTAAAGTAGAGTAGCTTTCAAACTATGATAAACAAAATACATATTTCTACTTAGAATTTTCTTGGTATCCGGCAACAGGATATGCCTTTAAAGTTATGACTTGACTAAAAATCGGAGATAATACTTTACCGCAACTTATTAGTCTTGACTTCTTGTGTTTTTTATGAATCCTAAATTTTATAATCCACTCCCAACTTTTTATAAGGCCAAGAAATTTTAAAATTCCTGGTTGTGGTCATACATACATAGGCAAAACTAAACGAAACCTACACACAAGACTAACCCAACATGCTACTAATTACAACAATTCTAGGGCTATCTCGCTTCATTTACTCATTTGCCCAGACACCAACTACATCTCACACCTTTTCTCACTTCCTGACATTGACTCCGACCCCGATCTCACACGCGTGCCATTTAATCCTTGTAATTTGATTCAAATTCAAAGTAACACCAAAGTGTTAAATCGCTGTAATAATAATAATCCTAATCAACTCCTCATCTGAGAAGTGCTTTTGATAACACGCAATATGCCACAACTTAATAGAGTGTGCAATTCAGCAATTCTAGCAATTCTGCATTGTCAAATGAAGAATATCATGTGGTCTTTGACTTAACCATAGGTCGTTTAAATCTACTAGTTCATCATGAGGCCCTTAATAACTGAGCTCAAGGCCTTTACGGAGACATATCGGACCGAGGTCTTTTTGTACAGACGGAGCCCGTATGGCGAGGTTTGTACAAAAAGACAGAGGTCCGTTATTTCTTCGTAAAGGCCGAGAAAGCGAGGTTATTAAAAGGTTTATTATATGGCATTAGTTGACCTGAAACTTGCTTTCTTTCTTGTCTTTGTTGTTTTGTACGGTTGGCTTTCACTTTTTTAGTTTTCGTCAGTAAAAAAAAATGTCGTTTCAAATTGTATCGTCTGGATAGTTTAACTGTGTTCCAAGTGCTTTTTCCTTCGACTCACATTCGTAAATGTTTTTTTGTTTCGGGTTTTTTTTGCGTTTTACTGTTTGCATTACGAAGTCTGTTTACATTTGACAGTAAAATTAAGCGTTTTGGACCGTGGTCGATTACGGGAAAATAATGGACCGGCAAAAATGTTTCTGAGCCAATCAAAGCGTGCCATTTAGCCGGGGCTGACGCTGCCATATAATAATAACAAATAGTGAACAATAGTCCTTTCTGATACCTGAGTATTCTGTAATATTTATTAATAATAAACCTGTAATTGTGGCGAACACGAAATGAGACATGTAAACCAGTTCGGCGTGTAACCACTGACTGTAATTTTCACAAGTTGCAAGCAACTGTGTTATTTGGAACATATTTTTACCATTATTAGATAATGAAGTTTTTCGAAATAACCTTATGTAGCAGATGCTGTTTGGTCATTGTGTGTTTTACTGCTATGGAAACATCATTATTAGGTAAGTTGATCTTTTATTAGCGTGAACTTTTGAGGTTTCGTGTGTTGTCGTTTAACTGAGTAGAGTTTTTTAACCCTTAAAATACCATATAAATTGTTAGATCTTGAGTCGCGATGTCAATCGGTAATCTTGTTTTTCTAATATTTGTCTGCATTTCCTGTATAAAACTAAACTGACCATAGTGACTATATCGTCTCATACGATAGTATTTCTCTTCATAGAAAAGTTACACGTGAAAAAACAATGATTAATCGCACTGTATAATTAACCTTTGGAATTCCAATTCGATAAACATCGATAAAATGACGAGTGAAATTGCATATTGTATGTGCGCATCGTGTTATATTTAAATGATGAAACACAAAAGAACAATTAAATCCTTAAGTTGTCCCATTGATACTACAGAAATCATCGTATTGTTTATACACCATTGATTGAAGCGCGTAATTTCACACAAAGGAATTTAGTAAAATTACATGTACACGAAAAGAGGATTAGGAACAATGAGATGATTTCTATAATTTTCGGGGCACGCCCGGTCCTTACACCCTGTAAGGGTGTAAAGAAAAGTTAAATACAAAAAGTTATAAAGTTAAGTTAATGACATAACATAATGTATTAACATGTGTCTTTATTAACATTTACTTAATTATCGTTCTTCTGTGGTAACATCAAATTGTTTAAAAACACAAATGTCCAGTTAACAGTAATATCTTTGCGAAGCTTTTTCCTGCGAAAGATCCTTCTTGTCTCAATTGTTTGATTTGCAAGAGGTCTTACAAGAAATGAAACTACTAAAATTGTCAAATCTTCTGAAGCTCTTGTCTTGCCAACATTTTGCCTTTTTTCTCGGGTTTGGCAAGCAATGTGGATCATTAATATTACAAACACTGGTGTAGTGTAAGCTTCAAACATTTTTTCATGGCAAATCTCGCTATCCCAGAACGGTTTCCGTGGGCTTGCAAACATCAGAGAATGTAAGCAAAGATCGCGAATTATAATCTTTTCCTGGTTATAGCGGAGTCTTGTCAATTTTCATCATCTTCCTTCATTTTCCATATTCATTATATGGAAGTTATAGCCTCGTTTGCATAAGCTATAGATAGTTAATTGTTTATGTGAATATATAGAGTGTAACCATCCACTTGGCGTTGGTGATAAACGGATTGCAGACAGGCAGTTAACTTCACCTTCCTTTGTATCAACTTTATACATCGCAAAAGACGATATTTATATAAATGCCAAGCCAAACTATGGTCGACTGAATGGTAAATATGCTTTCTGTGGCGGACGTTTCTCATATTTACAGGTCAGTATCTCGTTAATCCATTTATTTTTCCAGACTTTTTTGTCATTTAATTTTCTTTAATACCATAAGATTTATCTCCAGTGTTGAGCTACATTTATGATACAATTTGAAAATCATATAATCATGAGGATATTGTTTATTTATAGGTCAATCTTAGTTACGTTGTAAACGTGACAGCAGTTGCTACGCAAGGTCTTGACGATTGGGCACCAAGTTATGTTAAAACTTACCGTCTTCGTTTCAGTTTAAATGGTCAAGATTGGTTCAACTATAGCACTCCAAATAAGGTAGGAGTATTTACAGTTTAATAACTGAACATAATAACTGAACAATTTGTGTGTTAAAGATCAGGTTTCATTTATTCTTTATCAAGGTTTGGCGAGGAAACATCAACGGTCGGGGCATAAAACGGAACAATTTCAACTCTTCTATACAGACTCAATATTTACGTTTTTATCCTCAACGTTATAATTATGAAAGATGTCTTCGTGTGGAAGTCTATGGCTGCAAGTCAAGTGATCCTGGTATGAATAAACTGATGGTGTCTTCTGTTGTTGCCAAAATCAAACATTTTTAAAAATGTTTCAATTTTAGGTCAGTTAGAAAATACTTCAACAACTCCTCGCCTGACGACATCAATTACTGATGTAAAGGTCACCACAGCAAAAACTAATACAACCAAACCTATAGATTATGCAAAGTTCACCCCTACGAAAACTGATGCAACCTTTCCCGTAGATGATGTAAAGGTCACCCCTACGAAAATTAAAGCAACCTCTCCTGCAGACGATGGAAAGGTCACCCCTACGAAAATTAAAGCAACCTCTCCTGCAGACGATGGAAAGGTCACCCCTACGAAAACTAAAGCAACCTCTCCTGCAGATGATGTAAAGGTCACCCCTACGAAAATTAAAGCAACCTCTCCTGCAGACGATGGAAAGGTCACCCCTACGAAACCTAAAGCAACCTCTCCTGTAGATGATGGAAAGGTCACCCCTACGAAACCTAAAGCAGCCTCTCCTGTAGATGATGGAAAGGTCACCCCTACGAAACCTAAAGCAACCACTACAATGAAAGATGAAAAGTCCACCTTAATTGAAGTGCTTCATGTTGGGAGTCATTTGAATGATACTGTTGTCACGGAGATTCCCATAGTTCCTCATGACGCTGTTTCTCATACAAATGTTGCATCGTTGTTGGGTCTTTGTATTGGATGTTTTGTATTGGTCGCCTTGACTATTTTTGTTTTCATCTTACTCAAACGTAAGGCAGCCGCCATAAAACCAGAAGATGTCAACAGGTATAACTTATTGATTATTTCAGAGTTGTTTTTTTTGTATAAAAATATGGTTTTGCTTATGCAGAGACCTCAACAGAATACCCACTAAATTTGTAAATTATTAAGTATCAGCCCTTAAAGTCCTTTTTAAAATTTCTAAATGATCCGAATCTCTTTTATTTCGTCGTATAGTCGCTCTCAATGGCTTTGATCCTCGTTGCCCAGGAAAATCAAGGGATTTCTTATGAACAGCTATACGTCATGTTATAAGAAACAACTATTGATGAGATTGAGCATGATATCAATAATTATTCATACCGAGGCGGATAATGTTTAGCGAGGTCTCAATAATTCTTGATATAATGAGAAAGGCAAATTCAATAGTTGTTTTATTCTTTACCTCCACTAATTGAAATATCATTGAAGTCTATCAATGTAAAATATTTTTAAAACCTTCGCTATAATTTGTCCTTGTCAGACTGTAAATATGTTCAAAGCCAGCTTCGTTCATTTTTTAGAGCTTTCCGCAACTTTTTTTGTTCAAAAGTTTTGCGTATAGTTTTCAGAAACTGTTACAAACATCGCTATTATTTTGTTATGATAAATTTGGAAGTCGTTTTTTAGTTATAATAATGAAGTTTTGAAATAGTAAATATTTTTCTTTCTTAGGAATGGTCAAGACACAGTAAGTGTGATAAGAGTGCCATCAGAAGAGTCAAAATTATAAAATCAGGTTTAGTTGTAAAATGATGAAATATCCTATAAAATTTTGAAATGATAAAATATCCTGTTTGATATAAGATTAAAATAGCAGCAGGGGACAGTTAAATAGTTTAATTTATGCGTTACATTACACGAAAACTTATGTAGTTGAACACTGGTAATTTTAGATGGCAAAACCGCTGTACAAATATTGAGCCATTATGTAAATTTATAATCATATGCAGGTTTTGTGTTTTAAATCAATTGCTCGAGAAAGCCGACGCCCTCTCTCGCCCGTAGCCACCGATTTAGAAGTAGTACAGTTGGTAGCCGCTAGCACTGTAGCCATGATATTGAGGACCCTTTAGCCTAGGGGGGGTCCTGGGGCATGCACCTTAGAGAAGTTTTTATTGCCATTTATCGCATTTTAGGACACTTTTAAACAAGAAAATTTAGTAAAAAAAACTGTGAAAATAATCACTAAATGCTTTTGTAAGAAGTTTGAAACTGCCGTCGTATCACGTTTACTAATCTCTGTCATAAGCTTGCTAAAAAAATAGCCTCTTCCCAATTTTTGGATGGGATGGGACTGAGGTGTGCTTTCATGACTATGTTTTTTCTTGCATAAACATCACGACAACAAAAAGCGCATATTTCTTCTTTTGAAAGGTTTTCAAGTTTATTTAGAGGAGGGGGGGTGGGGGTGGCTTAGCTCCCTGTGTGTTTTGTGGCAAGTATTTCTTGTTTTGAGAGGTTTTCAAGTTTCTTTTAGAAGAGAAGCAATATTTGAAAGTGAAAACAATTTCATATCTCTGCTTGCAAAAATGAAAAATGTTATTTTAACAAGCCGTCATGCATTTGTGGATTGTCGGATTTTAACTCAACCACAAACTCCACTCACTCAAACTCGAGTCAAACAGCAAAGGTAAAGGTTAAAATCTCTAGCACCTAGAGCACCATCAATTACGACCTGGCCCAAGTCCAAGAAATTTGAAAATTTTGATGTGGAAACACACTAAATTTCAACATTTAAAATACATTAATATAAACACAAATTTCAACTTACCTTTTCGTATTCATTTTATCCTCAACTAGACAAAACATTTGCTTCCTTTTTGAAAATGGCGAATTTGCAGCGATTTTGGATAATTACTTTTTTGTCGGGCCTTGTTAAACAACAGATCGTGGCCGTCGATTTGGAGAAAACAAAGTCTTCAAATGGTGAGTTTTAATACGCAATCTCATGTCGAGCATTGTGATATTTTATCTCTTATGTTATTTATCATTGAACTTTCTTGAAGATGTTGCTTCATGTTGTAGAATTTTGTTCAGTTCACGAAATCCTTTTAAAAAGTACATTTTAGAAACGATACGATTTTATTCAACACTTATTACGCAGAGAAATGGAGCTATTGCGTATGGATATTTATGCTTGATTACAATCGTGCAGAAAAACCATTGAAATAAATATATAGATATACTTATACAGCTCCAATGATTATAACTTTTCGAACTTGAAAAAAACCTATTGCGATTTCGGTAACTAAAAAAGCTTTAAGGAGAACTACTAGTATAAGCATTGTCCTATTGTCGAGGTTTCTCATATAGAGGGATGTTAAAAAATAGCTTATTTAACTTTAAGTTTAGTGGGTAGGTTTTTAGATTTTTAAAAATATCTTAGAGACTGCATGTGCTACATACAATGCATTAAAAAAACTATTATGATGAACTTATGATTTATCTAAAGGATATCATATGATTTGGTAGGGAACTGCCTCTTTCATAACTTTCTTTTTTCAATTTCATGCAGTATTTTTCATTGTGTTTCATTCTATCTGATAAAACCTTCTCAATTATCTTATCTAACATACTTTATGAAGCAACAAGAAAACCTTTGTGTTGGATCTTTAAAACAGTAGAAATCAACGAATGTAATTATTTTTAATGTTTTGATCAAGAATTTTCTTGCATTGTAGAAGTAAAAGCTGGCTTGTCTCTGCCTGCATTCAAGCATTTCAACACTGTTAATTAAATAGTATTGTTTCTGCTTTCAACTTGTGGTACAACATATGACAAACTGTGGACTAGCATATGCCACTTAGCCATGTAGAAAAAGTGATGATCATTTTCACTTTTTGTTGATTTATTAAAAGCTATTTTACACTTTTATCAAGATAATGAAGAGTTTTCTTAAATTAAGTAGTTACTATATGGTAATTGTGTATTTTATGTACTCATTTTTGTACAAAACAAGACTGATCTCATAATGACCTTGTCATCTAAGGCCATAACTTTTCTCTTCATAAAAAATTTACTGGTGAAAAAACCATTTTTTATCGTATCTTATGTTTATCCTTATGTCCTGCAAACATTTAGCCATTTTTCTCATGTTTGACAAGCAATTGGAATGATTATTGTCTAACACTGATGCTTTAAACTTTTTGAAATATTTTGGTCATGAAAATTTCCCCATCCCAAAAACGGTTTCAATGGGTTAGCAAATGTCAGAAAGTTTGAGAAGCATTGCAATTTACAAATGTTTCTAGGTTATAGGAGTGTCTAATCTATTTTCATCGTCTTCTTTCTCTTCCTTCGTTCATAATCATTTTATAGAAATTGTAGCCTTGTTTGTATGAGCTATGGATATTTAATTGTTTATGTGAATTTATAGACTGCAACCTTCCACTTGGTGTTGGTGACGGACGGATTGCAGACAGTCAGTTAACTTCACCTTCCTTTGTATCAACTTTATACATCTCAAAAGATGATATTTACGTAAATGCCAAGGCAAAGTATGGTCGACTTAATGATAAATATGCTTTCTGTGGCGGACGTTTCTCATATTTACAGGTCAGTTTCTCGCCAATCCATTTATTAAGAGATCAGTTTTTGATCATTTCTTTAATATCACAAGATTTATCTACAAATGTTGCTGCATTGATGAACTAATTTGAAAATCATATAATCATCAAAATATTATTTCTTTATAGGTCAATCTTGGTCAGGTTGTTTATATGACGGCTGTTGCTACACAAGGTCTTGATGATTGGGCACCAAGTTATGTCGAAACTTACCATCTTCGTTTCAGTTTAAATGGTCAAGATTGGTTCAACTATAGCACTCCAAATAAGGTAGGAGTATTCACAGTTTAATAACTGAACATAATTTGTGTGTTAAAGATCATGTTTCATTTGTTCTTTATCAAGGTTTGGCGAGGAAATATCAACGGTCGTGTCATAAAACGAAATGATTTGATATTTTCAATACAGACTCAATATTTACGTATTTATCCTCTACGTTATAATTATGAAAGATGTCTTCGTGTGGAAGTCTATGGCTGCAAGTCAAGTGATCCTGGTATGAATAAATTGATGATGTCTTCTGTTGTTGCCAAAATCAAACATTTTTAAAAATGTTTCAATTTTAGGTCAGTTAGAAAGTACTTCAACAACTCCTCGCCTGACGACCTCGGTTTATGATGTAAAGGTCAGCCCAGTGAAAACTGCTCCAGCTGATGATGAAAAGTTGGCCACTGTGAAAGTATTATCTGTTGTCAACCATGGAAATTCTACAGTCCCTAATAAAATTGTTGATCGTGCAAATGTTGCATTGATGTTGGAATTTTCTATTGGATGTTTTGTGTTGGTCAACTTAACTATTCTTGTTTTCATGTTGTCCAAGTGTAAAACTGTGAAAAATGCAGGCGCAAGTTACAGGTACTAAAAGTTATTGATTATTTTTGTGCTCTTTTGTATTGAAATAACGTTTATTTTATGGAAGAAATTTGAATTCCCAAAAGTGACGAATGACAAAATCTATTTATATCATTTTGAAGAGCACTCCCCCCCCAAAAAAAAGACGGGGTTTTCTAACGTTTTGTGACCGACTTTCGTAGCGTATTTATTTCATGTAGAAGCACAAAATTTTAGACGGACCAACAAGCTACACGGTGTCAAAACACTTACACCCTCCCCTCCCCCCTCCCCGATGTGTGTTCCTGTTCATTTTGTTTATTGCCAAGAAAATCAAGTATTATATAATGAGTAGCTACGTCAATGTAATAATAATATTGTGTCTTTGAATATTTGAACAGTAACCATATGATTCAGTGTTGACTAACGTCAACAGATTTTTTTTCAGTTGGGAAAATGTGAATTGAATTGCAAGTTTTGGCTAAGGAAATTTAAGTAACTTTTCTTTCTTTCAGAATTGTCAAGAAAGAACTCGTCTGATAACTGCATCATCTCAAGATTTTAAGGCCAGTTTTTGTTGTAAAATGTTTAAATGTCCTCCACAAACTATTTTGAAATTTTGGGATTTTTGATTCAGTGACAGAGTGAGTTTTAAAGAACAACTAGATGCTGTAGTTTACTTAAATAATTATACGTTTTTCACATGCATACTTATGTAGTTTGAGATATTTCCTAAAAACTGGTGACTTTAACGAAATTTTTTCTTACTGCCAACATCACTAACATGTAAATTGTCTAGGGTAAGAACCTACTGCTCACTAAGTCGTCATGACACACAGATAACACTCAAACATTTCATATTTCTTGTTAAAGAAATACTAGTTTTCAGGAAATGTCTCGTCTTTGTGCTTTAGACAATATATATTTAATTATTTGTGTTTTAGAAACATGCGATGTAAATATAACGATATTCAGTGTTTATTTTGTACAGAACTTCAGTGTAGGTTTGTGCTTGTGAGCCGGCTATACATCGCACAGCAGCAGCTTAAGTAAGATAATTAATGACACATTATTGGGTACACAGCCCCAGAGTGAGTTTGTACATATTTGAAGAATTATTTATTTTGATTGTACCCATGCATGGAACTTTAGCATTGCGCAAAAATCAATGCTACAATTATGTCGACACGGAAAAATAATACCAGTTAAATATTATCAATTTCAAAAAGTTTTTTAGTCTTCAGTAATTGAGAAGAGAACTATTTCAAAACATTCTATACCAGTGCAAGGGCTCCATTCATCAATATAATTTTTACAATCCTAGACAAGTTTTTCAGCCTTTCGAAAATATTTTAGCTTCCCTTCGGCCAAACATAAATCTAGTGGAATTGCAGAGTTTCATACTGAATGTTTAAAGTCCTTATGATTCTTTCTTTGAATCTAAATCTTACCTTCGTTTCTTAACGCTTTGATTTATGTCACTTCCCTTGGTAGTTCTCCATAAAACTACATAAAAATCCATCTATGGTCAATGTCATGAAAGAAATGTTGTTAATATTCAAAACTGTTCTCAATTACTGAAGGCCAAAAGACGAAGAGTATTTATACACAATGCCAGAGTGTGTTTGTATTGTCTCTGCCACCGTCCATCTTAAAGATTTGGTGTTAGGATAGTTTAAATGTTTATTAATGTTAAAACTTTTTGTTGTATTTTGTGTTTATAAACTGGCTAGTTAAGAAATATATTTTTGAAAAAAACTCCAGAGTCCTGACTAATATTCTTTTTTTTTTGTTTTCATTTTATTCTTTGGACCAACCGTCATTCGTGTTTTACTTCATGTAAATCATTGATTGAAGACTACAGTCTTACTACTCCCTGGCGTCCCCCTTATTCGCTCAATTTTTATGCAGTAAACATTTCGTGGATTCTTCAATTAGTTATATTTGAGCAACTAGCTCACATTTAGCGCAAACAGTGAGTTTTTGTCTCGCGTGGCAAAAATTATCAAACATGTTTGATATGCGAGAAAAGGTTGCATAAGCCATAAAACTCAGTAAAATTCATCTACACAAAGCGAGTTATCGTCTGCGCTCACTTTGAGTTCAGCTGATAGCTCTCGTGTGTTGCAGGCTTTTCACGTTAGTTAATTTTACAAGCAATTCAAAAAAAAAGAAAGCAGACGATGACCCTGGTTGATACGTATTTGTAGAAACTAGAAAGAACAAAAATGCATACCACAAAGAGAGGAGGTATTACAATTATGAAAATTTTACCATCGAAACGAAGTCTGACCACACAACAAGGACAGAAATAGATATAATTTTAACTCTCGAATCTTAGATTCAAATGCCATATTCGTTTGAGAGATTTTTGTTCCATCAATATTGTTGTTGAAAAAAATTAAGTCATTTTTTTAGAGGGTTATTTACGATTAGGGTACTTTCGTGTTTACGAGACGTGGCAGGAAGTTAAAATTTTATGTAACTGCATAAAACATGTAAATTTTAACATTCTTCCTCAGTATAACAGCAAAATTATGTAACTTTTTTTCAAGAAAATATCGTCGATTTGTTCTTGAATAATCAACACTGTAAAAGTAATATACGCAGTTTTTTAAAGACTTTCAGAAATTAATTTTTCTCTGAAACGGTAAATTTTCTCTGTCCTTCAGTTCAAAAGTTTAAGTCAAAATGATCCTCATGACCCATTTATATACCAAATTAACCACCCACGTTCTCACTTGCATATTATGCAATATGCAAATGATGAAACACGCCGTGTAGTATTTGATCTTTAGGTTTAAAATAATACAGATCACCTAGTCCTCGTTTCTTTTCACTTTTGCTTTGTATACTAACAGACGAAAAGTCTGTTTTCTTTTTAAAAATGACAACTTTGCCGATCTTTTGGTTAGTTCCTTTGTTGTTTATCCACGTTGAAAAGCAACAGATCATGGCCGTCGCTTTGAACAAATCAAACTCGTTAAATGGTGAGTTTTAATCCATAATCTCATGTCGATCTTTGTTATATTTCTTCTCCTGTATTATGTATCGTTCAACTTCCTTGAAGGTATTGCTTCAGGCTGTAGAATTTTGTTCAGTTCATGAAATATCTTTGAAAGTAGTAAAACCGTAGTATTGAGTTCAATGCTTACTGTACACTGCAATGGAGTGATAATGGCGGTTTTATTTTTATTCTCGTTTGCATTCGAGCATTATAACTTCTTGAACCAGAAAAAAGCAAACTTTTGGAGTTTCGGAGAGTGAAAAATGACTACTGATGTATTTTAGCTCTGTAACTAATTTTTTGTTACATAACTGCAATATATAGTGATTTTTCTAACGTGAGATTATAGTTGACTCTATTATTTGTCACGACAAAACAAAACAAGTTTAAAATTATCAGTGTAATGAATGTAATTAATATGTTGGAATTCTGTTGACTTATTTCTGCCCCTTATGACACTGTCATGTGGTTTAACTTTTATTATTTCACAATTTTGGTGAACTACAAATCTACAAGCATTGTCATGGATAAACATGTTGAAATAGTATTTATGATGAACTTATGATTTCACTGCAGGAACTCACATGAGAGGCCGACTCTTTCGTAACTTTCATTTCTGAACTTCTTTTGATATTTTTGATACTTTGTTTCATAAGGATTAATGCATGAAAATTTTTTAATTTCCTTCCATAATACCTAATGAAACAAAAAGCAAACCAATTTGCCAGATCTTGCTATTAGTCATTTCAACACTGTTCAATTATCATGTGGCCTTTAAACCTTTGGTTCAACATATGACAAAATGTTTACTCGTAAATCTATCAATATGAGATGAATCCAATGCTCAATATTTTCAGAAGGTGTTGATGCATAAAGCACCCATTTTCAACTAGTGTCAAGATGATGAAGATTTTTTACAAATTAAGTTACTCTATACATTCTTTGGTAATTGTGTATTTAACTGCTGTGGAAAGATCATTATTTAGTATGATTATTGCTACCTATAGTAAAAAAACACATTATGACCTTTTTGAGCCATGTTAAAACCTAACTATATGTTTACCACGTTCCAACATTGGCAATGAATATTTATAAAAGAGATTTTAATACGTGTCGCGATGTCAAACAATGTTTTGTTTAGTTATATACCTCATACTTGTTGTAACTTCCTTTAGTCAGTAGAAAATCACTCATGTTTGAAAAAACCATGATTCATCGCATGGATAAACATCGCGCAGACTAAGCGTTCTTTTCCTATTTTTTTTTTCAATTTGCCAAGCTGTGTAAATCATTAATACCTAACACTGATATCTTTTATTAAAGCTTCAAACATTTTCGTCGTGCTAATTTTGGTTTCCAAACACTATTTTCAAGGGCTTGCAAACGTCAGAGAATTTGGGCAAACGTCCAAACACTATTATCAAGGGTTTGCAAACGTCAGATAATTTGGGCAAACGTCCAAACACTATTATCAAGGGTTTGCAAACGTCAGAGAATTTGGGCAAACGTCGCGTTTCTTTTCTACTTTCATCGTCTTGTTTCATTTCTTTCATATTCATTATGTAGAAATTATAGCCTCGTCTGTATGTATGAATTATAGATAGTTAATTGCTTATGTAAATTTATAGAGTGTAACCATCCACTTGGCGTTGGTGATAGACAGATTGCAGACAGTCAGTTAACGTCACCTTCCTTTGTATCAACTTTATACATCGCAAAAGACGATGTTTATATAAATGCCAAGCCAAACTATGGTCGACTGAATGGTAAATATGCTTTCTGTGGAGGACGTCTCTCATATTTACAGGTCAGTTTCTCGTCAATCCACTTATTAAGAGATCAGTTTCTTTCAGGACTTTCTTTTTTGATCACAAGATTAATCTAAAATTGTCCTACATTCATTATCTATTATCCACTATTGAAGATCATTTCATGAGGATATTGTTTATTTATAGGTCAATCTTAGTTACGTTGTAAACGTGACAGCAGTTGCTACACAAGGTCTTGACGATTGGGTACCAAGTTATGTTAAAACTTACCATCTTCGTTTCAGTTTAAATGGTCAAGATTGGTTCAACTATAGCACTCCAAATAAGGTAGGAGTATTCACAGTTTAATAACTGAACATAATAACTGAACAATTTGTTTGTTAACGATCATGTTTCATTTATTCTTTATCAAGGTTTGGCGAGGAAATATCAACGGTCGTGGCATAAAACGAAACAATTTCAACTCTTCTATACAGACTCAATATTTACGTTTTTATCCTCGACGTTATAATTATAAAAGATGTCTTCGTGTGGAAGTCTATGGCTGCAAGTCAAGTGATCCAGGTATGAATAAACTGATGGTTGCTTTAAAATCAAACACAATTTTAAAAATGTTTCAATTTTAGGTCAGTCAGAAAGCACTTCAACAACTACTCCCCTGACGACCTCAGTTACTGATAAGAAAGTCACTTCTGTGGAAACTGATGTAACAACTCCAATGAATGATGCAAAGGTTGATGTAACAACTCCAAAGAATGATGCAAAGGTTACTCCTATGAAAGCGAAAGATCTTTCTGTTACGAGTCAATGGAAAGATATTGTGACTACGGAGGCTCCCGTTCTACCTTATGATGTGGATCACAGCAAAAATAATGCATTGTTATTGGGAATTTGTATTGGAGGTGTTACATTAATTACACTGACGATCATTGTTTTCATGTTGCTCAAATTTAAAAAAGCCGAAAATAGGGACGCCGATAACAGGTACCAGTAGTCATTGATTATTTTAGTGCTCATTTGTGTTGAAATAACGTTTATTTTATGGAAGAGACGAGAATTTCTCTAAGTTATGCAATGAGAAAATCATTAGAAAATCAATGATTTTTTTGCATATCGCTAAGGAAAATCATTGATTTTCTAAACTGACTACTTCATGTTTTAATAAAATTGTGTCTTTCCACATTTCAACAATTACGTTTTTATTCAGTTGACTGACGTCAGCACAATCCTTTTCGAATTGCAAAATTCGAATGTAACCCAAAGTTTGACTTGGCAAATGATTTTATTTCTTTAGATTGGTCAAGAAAGAATTCGTCTGACATCTGCATCATCTCAAGATTTTAAGGCCAGTTTTAGTTGTAAAATATTTAAATGTCCTCCACAAACCCCTTTGAAATTTTGGGATGATTGATTCAGTGTCACAGTGTATTAAAGAACAACGAGATGCAGTAGTTTACTTTAACAATTTATTTTTTTTGAAAAATTTCCTGAAAATTGGTGACTTTAACGGAATTTTTTCTTACTACTAACATCACTAACATATAAATTTTCTATTGTTTGAACCTACTGTTCAATTAATCTTATTAAAGTTCTAATCATACATTTCAAATTTCCAGTTAAAGAAGTACTAATTTTCAGGAAATGTCTCATAAATTTGCTTTAGGGAATATATTTTTTCAATTCTTCGTTTAAAAAACACGCGATGTATATATAACGATATTCAGTGTTTATTTTGTGCAGAACTTCAGTGTAGGTTTGTGCTTGTGAGCCGGCTATACATCGCTCAGCAGCAGCTTAAATTAGAAAATGAATGACTCATTTTTGGGTACACAGCTCCAGAGTGAGTTTGTACATATTTGAAAAATTATTTATTTTGATTGTACCCATGCATGGAACTTCAGCATTGCGCAAAAATGATTTGAAATGGGAAAAAATGTTTTGTAGAATATCGTTGCTACAAATTATGTGCTCACGAGAAAATACTATAAGTTAAATATAATGAATTTCAAAGGCAATTCAAAAAGTTTTTTAGTCTTCAGTAATTGAGAAGAGAAGTATTGAATGATTTCAAAGCATTTAAAATCTAAACCTTATCGTGGTTTCATAACGCTTATTATTATGTCACTTCCTTAGTAGTTCTCCATAAAACTACATAAAAATCAATCTATGATTGATGTCATGAAAGAAATGTTGTTAATATTCAAAACTGTTCTCAATTACTGAAGGCCAAAAGACGAAGAGTATTTATACACAATGCCAGAGTGTGTTTGTATTGTCTCTGCCACCGTCCATCTTAAAGATTTGGTGTTAGGATAGTTTAACTGTTTAATGTTTGTTTTTGTTAAAATATTTTTGTTGTATTTTGTGTTTATAAACTGGCATGTTGAAAAATATATTTGTGAAAAAAAACTCCAGAGTCCAGACTAATATTCTTTTTTTTTTCGTTTTTATATGATATGTTGGACCAACTTTCCGTGTTAGCGATAAAAAGTGTATTTAGGCTTTACATCATTAACTGTAGACCGCTGACACATTGTTGACACATCTGTAATAGCATCTGTCCTATTATACCTATGTGTAATAGTCACAGACTCACAGTAGGCCACGGTTTTATTACCCACCGGCGTTTTTTCCCTCTTTCGTTGGTTCACTTACAAATACTTCATAACACCTTGGTCAGTTAAGTATTCAGAATTTTGGATTTGTAAGTACTTCTTGTTCGTTAGAAAATATTGTTTAAAAGAAGATATAGTTAAGCTCGTTTTGAATTCAAACAAAAATCGCGCAAGTTTTTCCGAGGTGAAAGAGAAGATGAAAGCGTCAACCATAACATCAATGTGCTGGCATCACTGCGCATGCTCTGACCTGACCCCGTCAGGCTGGTCTAAATTTACAAAAACTAGTATTTTTCAATTTATCAGTGCGAGTGTTTCTAAAGAAAAACCTCTCTATATCATCTCGTTTGCTTATGTATCGAAAAGAAAGACATGAAATAAAAAGAATTTAAAAAAAGGGAGATATGTTCGTCGTAATCATGAGAACAATTTTTAGTATGATTATCTTGAAGTTCTCCGTTCCAATTAATTATTCCATTATTAAATAATTTTATTATTAAATCTTTTGTCGTGTAGATGAACTGTTTTATCAACTTAACTTCATGTTACTATAAAAAAAGTTGAAATACGTGATCATTTCTTCACGACATGCTGAATGAAAGACTAACTAACCACCAGTCAAACGTGCCACCAGCTGAACAAATTAAACTGATCAATCAGAAAAAAGTGTTTGACGTAATGTTGTTTTTGTCATTTATTGTTTGACATTGATAAGCGTCAGTTTGTCACGAACATTCGTGTTTCACCTTAACAACGCTACAACCTCAAATGGTGAGTGAATAGTGGTGAAATATTACAAAATAAAAAATGAAGAAGTCAGCGTCACCACCAGTACTTGTTGGAACGCTTGCTGAGCCATTTTATGCTATCTCGTTTGGGATTCTTGTGGCTTTGTTCTCCGTGAAAATTGTCAGTTTATTTACACCATATTACTTTGGATACGTTGCTTTGACAGTCATTTCTGTTGAAGGTTTACTATGGAGCTTTAATAAACCTCCTCAGGAATATGAAGAGTTTAAACCAGCAGAACGCGAAAGAATGGCAGAAACACAAAACAGTCTTGCAATACCAGAAGACGCCGTGCCAAAGAAGCGTCAAAGTCCTTCTGGAGCTGGAAAAACAGAGAAAGTTGTTAAGGAATCTAGATTTCGACGTCGGCATAAGAAAAATGCTTCTGAGTCTCCTGTAGAATCGCCTCCATGATACTTTTATTAAAATGCATGAAATGCATCAAAGCATAAAAACGTAGAGACTTGAGAATTTAACATAAAATATTAATAACTTTACGTCTTTGTGGATATGGTTTTTTTACGAACATTTTAAATTATTTATAACACTGGAACATCAAATAAACTCGATTAGATTGAGATTGGTGTTTTTCCTTCGAAAATTGGTTAGTTCAATTCCTAAACCTTATCTATCTTAGCTTTTATCTAAAAGATTACGGACTTCCAGGACACGATTTAAGATTAAAATAAATGACACAGTGCCGCGAAACGAAGATTTCAATAAAATTTAATGAGATAAAATCAAAAATCTCTGCGTGTGAGCGATTTCTCTTCATTCAGGAATGCTCTGTGTGTGTGTGCGTATTTATAAACATTAACTGTTCAATTTTACCTCTTTTTCAATCCTTTTTTACGATGCCAGCGAACAATTTATTTGTCAGAAAAACATAAATATAAGGAGTTATGAGGAATTAATCAGGAAGATAGGAGTTGTTGCTGGTAAAAAAGTGTGATAAATGCCAGGTCGTAGACGTAGCGAATGTATTTATTTTAGTTATTTAAAAACTTGGGAAAATCGATTTTGATTTTATTTTACAGATCTAGAATGTAGAACGGCGTTAGTAGAACTAAAATTTAGCAATTGTAAGTATAATTTTAAGAAATAAGAAAATGTGAATGTTCAATAAACATCCCTATACTGCATTTGCTGAAATGATTAGGATATAAGCTGTAGGATATTAGCATTTATTACCATATACATAAGATATATATGTTGTTATAATGATTATATATAAAACATAATACTAAGTACTATGAGACTTTAGTATGACTTCTTAGATCACCTTCACACATGCTTGCTTTTTCGTTGATTCGTTTAATAAATTTATACGCTGCCGAATCGTTTCTGTAGTACGTTTTCATTTAATATGCTCCAATTTTCATATATGGTGGATAAAAAGTTGGTAGACCATAGTTTTAAACCAAGAAAGACAACAATATTTTCAATGTGTTGCTCTCTAACATATATGAGCAATTAAGGTGGGGCTTCCCCTACTGAGCTTCTCTTACTACCATTGGCTGCTGCTGATGGCGGGCGGCCACCCTATTTTCAGGCGATTTATTAGAAAAAGTGAAGAAACTGGAAGAAACTCGTTTACTCGAAGGAGTTTTACCAAATTTGTTTATTTTGGAAGTTAGAAATCAGATTTATCGAAGAAGCAAAGCTTTGAGAGATGGCTGATGTTCGTGATTATAATGTCCTTATTCTAAGTTTATCATTTATGTTTATTTTTACGGCGTTTCAAACAACTACAATCATTGAGGTAAAAGTTATTTGCAAAAATACACAATGTCATTTCTTTACTTTAAGTCATTACACACACACAATGTCATTTCTTGTTCTTTAACTTTTCAGGAAAGTATATTGAAAAGTGCAAAAAATGAAAGTCACCATCCCAGTTCTTTCAAAGGTTTGATAAACACTTAATGTTTAGCGTTGTTCAAAAGATTTCTTTAAATGTTCTCAAAATTACAAATAAACATTTCTATTTTCTGTTTTAGCGAGTGGATATACCAGGTATCGAATGTGTCAGGTCAATGTTGATATTTCCAATACATTTTATTGATTTGTCTTTTTCTTTCTCAGTTTGTGTATTATCTACGCAAGTTTTTCTCTTTTTAACTGGATTGCACCTCCAGTAATTTCCATGATTGGATCAAAGTTTTCAATGATGTTGGGAGGATTTTGTTATTTGTATGTGAAGTTGTCAACTACTGTCTGTCATATATAAAAAATATGGTTTTAATGTTTATTGTTTATGGTTTTTTTAGGTTTTTCATTTTCAGTTTGTATTTTGTATCAAAGTATGTAAAGTGTGATTTGTCTGGTCTACTTTATGCAGCTTCAGTTGTTGTTGGTTTTGGCGCTGCGGGTAAATTTATAGTAATGTAATTTACATTATATTGCATATTGATTATTAAATCTTGGTTCATTAAAATTATTTATAGTAATTTGGACAGCCCAAGGAAGCTACCTTACTTTAAACTCTACAGACGAGACAATGGGTAGAAATAGTGGTATATTTTGGGCATTTTTCCAATGCAGGTATTAGATTATTCATGTTAAATGCAATGTAAATTTTCTCATTATCATTTTATTTTTTTCTAGTTTCCTCATTGGGAGTATGATTGTATATTTTTGTTTTAAACCCGAAAATGGATCAACTCTTATCAGTAAGAAATTAAAGTTGAGATACGAAATCACAAATTTTCCCATTCATTGCTGTCACAATATTTTTTGAAGGTCTTCATCAAAGATCAATTGTCCTTTTAATATTTATTGCTCTGTCAGCTTTTGGAACATTGTTTTTCCTATTGCTAAGGAAACAGAAATCGTCAACAGAGGTATGAATTTTCTACTCGCTTCTGACAATCATTGCCATTTTGACATAGATGTGGGACTTGTTGCAATTTTTGGTACTTTTACTAAATTAAAGGTTACAGATGAACAATTACACTTAGATCATAGATGATCTAGCACATTTTTAAAAATTGTGGTTCTTTTGTGCTTTCATTGGTGAGATTTTACAAGTTATACCAAAACAAAAATTAACATTTGATATCATTTGCTTATGTCTTTTGACTTGATATTTTTTATCATCTATCGCCAGCACATTCAAAAAAGTATAAATTTTTTATTTATTGCTTTTAAAAACAAGCACTACATGTCAGAGTTAGTAGTTCCATGTGAAATAATACTGTTTACTTTACAGAATACAGATTACAATTGTATTGTAAAATGTACTCTGTATTTTGAAAAAAAATTCATGTGATGCCCTACAATATTCACTGTAAGAATTGTTAATTGTTAGAAATTTCTTGTTCTATTCCTGATTCATAGTAAACAACTTATTAAACTCATTTAGAGTGATCGTCAGGAGATACTTGTGGTTAACACAAGAGAGTGAGTCGATCTGAGTATCATTTAAATCAATTTATGCTTTTTATAAGACAGTGGGATCATTTGGCATGTTTATAAGCTTAGGACAGAGTACCAGTTATGTTTATGTTCATTTTTAGTTCTGGTACAAGAACAGAAAAGAAAGGAAATCCTAAAAAGACATTTGGTTAATTTAACTGTTCTTTACCTGTTTGTTATATTTATCATTTACAAGTGGATTGATGCATGTAAATTTTTTTTTCTTTAGTAAATTCACTCAAGCTGTTTATTACTAGACCTATGTTTTTTCTCAATGTTGTGTTCATTTATACTGGTAAACATTTCTACTTTTGCATTTATTTCATGCAAACATCATGTAAGTACCTCTTACTTTACAACAGGTCTTGAGTTGACATTCTACAGTGGTGTTTATGGCACAAGCATAGGTTTGTTTCTTTCTTTCTTTCTTTGTGATGTTTTTTTATTATGGTGTCATGAACTAACTCATTTCATAAGTAAAAACTTTTGCCATGTTGAAGGAAACACACTTCATTTCTCTGAATCCAAGAGATTAATTGGTCTTTGTGGTGTTTTCATAGGAGTTGGTGAAATTCTTGGTAATGTTTACGTTTGCCAAGAAATTCATTTGTGAATATTTTCAAATATTATATTCTTTCGCACATTTTTTTTTATTTAATAAAGGTGGTGGAATATTTGGTATATTTGGTAAGCGTATCTCAGCCAAAGGTAGAGATTCGGCGGTATTTCTTGGTTTGATTGTCCATTATGTGGCATTCTTTCTTATTTTACTTAACTTACCTGATGAATCTCCCAATGGAAGCAGTCACAGAATGGGATATCTAATCCAGCCAAGGTAGCTGTACTCGAGTTTAATATTTTGATATTTTAGCTTGGTTTTCCATGAATAAAATTTGAAGCATTATTTGGGACATTTACCTGGTTTATACTGATATCTTGTCACCTTACATTTCCCAGTGTTTATATTGCAATGTTCTGTGCATTTCTTCTTGGTTTTGGAGACAGTTGCTTTAACACACAGGTACTAACTGTGGATTCAATTTAGGTTTTCTTTATTTCACATTGAATGCACAATAAGTTTTAATGTTTGTTATTTCAACAGATTTATTCGTTGCTGGGAAACTTTTATTCAGATGATAGTGCGTCTGCCTTTGCCATTTTTAAATTTTCTCAGGTAATTCATATTCTCATCATTGTCATGTTTATGTAAACATTGAAGCATTGTTTTGTGTTTAGTCTGTGGCTGCTGCTGTTGGGTTTTTTTACAGTAGTTATTTAGGCCTAAAGTTTCAACTGTATATTCTGGTAAGTTGAAATTGTGTAAGAAGTATTTATTTTTTTATAAATAAAGTGGTGCAAATGCTGTTTAAATTGAATAATAAAGCTACAAACTTTTCGGAGTTTTGAGAGATGCAAACTGAGGTAACTTAAAATTGGCAAATTTTATTATTATTTAGATGATCACTGGTTTTCTTGCTACAATATCCTTTTTTGTTGTTGAAAAGATGACAAGATCAAGACCACGATATCAGGCATTTTAAGTTGAATAGTGCGTAAAAATATTAAATCAAATAAGTCAAATTCAAATGAAAATGTTTATTTATAAAAATTTCATATCAACCTTGTGATTTATTACTTAAAATAGAGACAATAGTAAACTTTTCTAACTTAACAATGACATGTCTTTTGTTTGTAATTTTCATTTGCAAGTTACATTTCTCATATTTTATATTGTACGTAGCTAGGATCTGACAATATAATTTATATATATACATATATCTCAATAAACAAAGCTATCTCTTATTAGGTGTATAAAGCTGCCAAAGTTTTTCGAACTCTTTGCAATAAGGACGAACAATGTCTGGATTATTTGTTAATAAAACATTTTCTTTGTTACCAACTACAGCCTGTCTTGTCCAGTTAAAAGAACCACTAATTAATATTTTATCATCCACAATTACAAACTTATGGTGCATGTGATAAGATGTAGTATCGTATCTAACTTTTATTCCTTTGCCTTGAAACCTTTCAATTTGTGAGCCCGTTAATGCTTCATTTTCCTCATTGGTGATGACTCTAATGGTTTTTCCTGTTTTATGAAGTTGCATTGCAACATTCGCGAGCTCATGACATGATATCGTGAAAACACAGATATCCAAGGATGTCTGTGTGCTGTACAAGACCTCAAGAAGACTTCCCAAAGACGTCTTATAATGAGCATAACGACATTTAACCAAATGACAACCTCTGGGAGAAAAAAAGTCACGACATATCAAACGACTGTCTGGAAAGAATAAGACTTTATGAAAAATTTCGAGAGAAACGCTCGATTGCCTTGACGACGACCAAGCCATATAGCATGCTTTAATGCAACTACAGAACACAGATAAAGTCTGTAGCACGACACTTGATGTCCAAGCATATAAAAACATTTCCCCAACGGCCGCCATCTTGAATTTTGAAACAACGCGCGCAACCGCGGGAAAATAGAATTCTTCACCATCACCATTGAACGAAGTATCACTGATGACCATCAGCTATTCAGTAACCATCATTAACGTCAACCTTTCAGCAATCAACCAAGAGCTTTCATTTTTCACAAATGCGAAATGTTCCGGTCTAGTATTAATGAACTTATCTGTTTTCTGTGGATGGAAAATCAAGATTGCTTTGCTATGATTTAACTAGGGAAGGTATGTGCGTTTGAATGTATTGTCCGACCCAAATCTGTGTAAATTTCGCGATCATTTTTTATTATGTGTACCTCGCGTTATACATCATGCTCAAGGCAATAAATAAAGTTATCAGTTAGAGTTAAATCGAACTAGCATTTGTCATCAACGGCGACATAAATAATGGCCCACCGTCTCAGGGTGGAAAAATTATCTAAGTTTGAAGTTTATAAAATGCTCTTGTCTAAAAATGGCGATGGTAATTAAAATGAGAAGCTTTATTAAATGTCGTAAATCAATAACTAAAGTAAACAGATCTAGACTGCTAGTCACATATGTGATAAAATTCATTTGTCACTTTCTGATAGTTGATCGTGTTTGTTTAAGAATGCTACAGCGACACAAATTTTCTTTCCGTAGTGCCTTAATCAACGACACAGACAGACCTGTAAAATTTTGAAAACTAAGTTTTATGGTTAGAGGATAAGGCATGCCTACTTTGATCGCCAGAAAATTATTTTGTGTTTTTTAAGCACATAAGTGAAGAAATCGTGCTCAAGATATCTGAAATAATGCAGTTGAAACATACCTTGCTACTCTGGTTCAAATTATCAAAAACCTCACCCGGCCTGGACTTTTTCAACATATAGACTTGATGGACAAGTCTCCCCCTCCCTCCCTTTCATCGTTTTCCTGGGCAACTTTGCTCTATTTCCCTTACAAGCTGTTAGTAATATTCGTGGCACTGTGAAGAACATCTTGTTCTGCTTTTAAAATTTAATCATTGCAAATTAGCCCTGTTTGATGAGTGTACTGCACCATTGATCAAACCTTAAATTGTGAGAACGAATTTGTCCATTATAGTAAATTGAATAATTTAAATAGAAGATTTCATTATATCGTTATTGTTTACTATTGTTAAACATCATTGTGTTATTAAGACTAATAATCGTAAAATATCTTTGAAATTCAACACGTCTACGCTGGCATTCTTGGCGAGTTAACAAAAAGGAAAGCTGTCAAAGATAACTGTCTGGTAGATAGCTTGCTTTGATTTATCTACAGCAAAAGGAACTTGTTATAGAGGCAAAAAATGATGAGCTGAAGGTATTTATACATGTCTGTTGCTTTTTACTGGCTATAAATTATGGTTATTCGCTTTTATAATTTCGTACTATGCTGTCTAAAGTGTTAAATTAACGACAGCTATGAAGGTCGGCTGAAAATTGAACAACAAAAAAATTTCTATTTTCAATTAATCTCCGACGTCCGTTACTACTTATTGTCGTATCAATTAAAATGAAAACGTGAATGATTGATGATGAAAGTTATTTGAACTTTTGAAATACATTCCGTAGCAACCAAGAACCCAACAGACAAACAGACAAAGGAAACTTTTCATTAATTCAAAACATTCACTTTGAATATTTAATGTGTTTGTATGCCTGAAAAATATACCGCAGTGAAAGACTGTTTGGGTGTGTGTATCTTTGGCATTATGCACCATGAAAGGTGTTCTTGAGGTAGAAGTCAATCTGTTATCGAATACTTAAATCGTGATCTTATTTGGTAAGTGAGCCTAAATTTTTCATTTATCATGATCAACATATGATGAATTGTGCAGATAATTGAGGAAAAACATTTTTTGTCGTCATTAGTTTGATATAAATAGAAATAAGGAACTTCTGACTTGTGAAATGAATGTTCACTGTATGCAGTGGGTAAACGGAGAAAACTTTACATAGAAAGTTTTTACTTTACACAAAGAAAGCCATTTTGAAGCCTTGTTAAAGTTGATACTTGGTATGTTTATTGTTTATCGTATTTATTTCTTGTAAAGTACATCACTGTATTTTTTAACAAGCGACAAAGATTTTTAATTGCAGGTCTGTTTGTCTCAAGTGCATTTTGATTTCTTCACTTTGCAAAAGGCATCTTAAAAACATCAAGTGGATTTTTGTCGAAAACGTTAAACTTGGGTATATAGAAACGATTGAGGATTGTTTAATCTTAACAATTGTTTTGTTGGTTGTTGAAGATATATTTGAAATATTGAGCCAACACTGTTGGAATTATTATATTTATGCATCATTTTAACTTTTCCTTTTAACGTTAACTTTTATCATGTTAAGCCAAAATCGCTAACGAAATATTTTCATTTAATTGCAACTGTAGTTGCCCCATTAAAATGAAAATGAATTTAAAGACAATGATGTAGATAGAATGTTACTGAAGTTCAGTTTCGATTTTATTGTCGACAATTTATGTGTATAGAAATATTTATCGTCTTTCTTTTATTCGCAGGAAGAATGTCCACGAAAAAAAATATTGAAAAAGAAGAGGAAATGTCTGGTACAAATAATCTAGAAAACGACGATGTAAATGTCTCCAAAGAAAGATCAAAATCTTTAATAAGTGTTACTTTTAACCAACTAAAGGATCATATTATGAGCTCAAAGCCAAAAAAACGACGTCTTTTAGGAAAGAAAGGAACACTAAAAGTGAAGGCTTTGAACACTAAAGGTGGTCTGTATTTCTCTGATTTATTCACAACTTTAGTGGATGCTGATTGGAAATGGATTATGGCTTTTTTTGCGCTTTCCTACATAGTATCATGGTTATTGTTTGGTCTATTGTGGTTTGCTGTATTTAAGTCTAGAAAACCTGATGAATGCTTGATGGAAGTAAATTCATTTGCGAGTGCTTTGCTGTTCTCGATTGAAACCCAGACAACAATAGGTTATGGTGGCAGGTCAATAACACCAGTCTGTCCTGATGCTATCATTATTCTTATGATACAATCTTTAACTGGTCTCTTTATGTCTGCTGTACTACTTGGTTTAGTCTTCACTAAACTAGCCAGGCCAAGCAAGCGAGCAGATACACTACTTTTTACCAAAAATGCTGTTATCGCCCCCCGCGATGGTAAATTATGTATGATGTTTAGAGTAGGAGATATACGTGAATCGCGAATCCTCAACGCCGAAATCCGAGTTCAATTGTTTCGTACCCGAAGAACGGCCGAAGGACAAGACATTCCGTTTTATCAACAAGACCTTAAATGTGGGATAGATTGGAGTGATAAGGGATCAGGAAACAACAGTTTGTTTCTCGTATTACCGCTGACCATTGTTCACGTGATCGACGAAGAAAGTCCCTTCTACGAAATGGGTCCCAACGACTTCAACTCTATTGCAGACTTTGAAGTTGTCGCGATCTTGTCTGGGATGGTGGAGTCGACAAGCATGCTCGTTGAGGCGAGAACGTCTTACCTCGGAGACGAAATATTGTGGGCTCATGAATTTTCGGAGGTCTTGCACGAGGAAAGTTGGGATGCACAAAAAGGAAAGTATCTGGTAGACTTCTCTTCATTTGATGATACTGTACCTGTACAACATCCTCAACTGTCAGCAAAGGAATTTTATAAAAGACAAGATGAGGAAGTACATAAAGTGATCAAAGCTGCTCGTTCATCTAGCAGGAGGATTTTATCGCGGCACGATACAGAGAATACTTTGGCGAAGAGATATATGGATTTGTGGGTACGAAAATACACACTTATTCAAGAAGAAGGAAGACGAAAAAATTCTTATGAAAAAACCATTGAGACAACAAGTAGTTCCAGAACAGTGACTGGTGTCAGAACGTTAAAGGTAACTCCTCAATCTGGCAGCCAAAACCTTATATAATCATAAGGACAAAAGGAACAAATAATTGACATTATTTTCACATCTTTATTAACTTTTTTTTACAAATGTTTGTAGTTAGTTTGACTATAGGTTGTCCATATTTGAAGTTCTTTGCGAAGACATACGTCTAAAAGGAATTTTTAAATGATTACTTGAAAAAGTTGACTTGAAACAATACAAATGAAAATAGATTGCTATTGACATCAGATGTCAGAAGTTTTCCAGTTTTGGAATCATCACAATTTAATATGATGGGGGCAAACTTTTTGTCATCAATTGTCAACATAGAGCAGAAAAAAACTGTAAAACAAAGTCAAATATAATTTCTTTACCTTTAACTCAACAACTTCATTTGACAGTTGGCCATCTTAAAATAAACATGAACTTTTAGAGATTTGAATGTTCAATTAACATTATATAAACATCATAAAGGAACATCAGCACATTCTGGCTATTTATAATAAATATTTATCAGCAGAGTCGATATGACGGGGAAAAATAGTCATCATTTGTTCCATTTTTGCAAGAAAACATTGTAGATGAATACTAGTAGTACCTGAACATTGGTGATAATAAGTTCAGATGAATGTCTACAAACAAATACAGGAAAAATGAGCATACAAAACACTATGAAAAACAGACTTAATTTAATGGAAACAGCATCAGAAAGTTCTGGCTTTTAAAATGCATTTTTATCATCATGGTCGATATGACGGGGAAAAAATTGATCATCATATGCTACAAAATAGTTTAAATGAGATTACATAGAAAATTACCAACAAGTTTCTCCACAAAACATCTTAACTTTGAGCTAAAAAATGACAGAGTTGAACATAAATACTTGATTATCATGAATTAACAAAGATTATTGAAGTAAGTGTCAGTCAGACATCCAAGGAAGATTAATCCATCATTGAAATGACAAAGCATCACTTTGGTGGAAACTGCGAATATATGGGAATCATCATCATTCTGACTTTTACTTCATATTCAAACAACAAATATAAAAGATGCTCTACCTTCATTAGCGAACTGAAACGAAATGATGCCCTAAAACAGATTATTTCCATTAATAATAAGATAAAATGAAAAGACAACAAAAATCGACCAAAGAGTTCTCAGGCTGACGTACATCTCAGCATTGTTTACTAAGTCAGGGATAACTGCGATATAGTCTTCATCATTGATACTAATATGAAGTAACAGATTACATAACAACTGACCTTATGCAATCCAAGATTATGTTTGATGGCTCAGAACCTAGAAATGACAGTTCATTATATGATTAGGACAAATAATATATGCAAACATACTTTAAATAATGGAGTGAAGACTCAGTGTCAGAAAAGTTTTTAATGGATCATGGTGTTAAAAAAACACTCAGTTTAGAGGTGTCATATAAATCTTTCATCATTGTCAAAAATAACGCATGTGATACAGAATTATCTTTCATTTACCTTTCAAATTAAATTAACCATCAAAAATGGTTAAGCAAAGGGAGAAACTTGGTAAGGTCTAAATAGAATTATAAATATTATTAATACAACGAAACAACTAAACACAAACAATGAATTTTGTTTGATGCAGTATCAGACAGCCAAGGGTTGTGTCATCAAAATAATTCAGCGACTCTAGTCTACAATTTTTTCATCATATACTGCAACAACTAAAAGCAGGTTTTCAAACAAAGAAAAAACTAAAACTAAAACCTTATTTTTGTTTCCGTTGCCAATGAAGACGGTCCTGAAATACAAACACACACAATTTATAACCTAAACGAAATATTATTAACTTATTTGTGTCTTAACATTATTTAATTTGCGCAATTTACTCTCAGACAAATGCCTCGAGTTCAGCATTATAAATATTTCAGGCTCGTCATCAATGTCATCATGGAGTATTTGATTTGATCACATGGACGCAAGGAATACTAAACCGATATTTCAAACCGAAAAAAAACATGAAAAGTAGTTTGTCCTTTTTATATTAAAAAACGAATTTAAATTTCATCACAAACTGAAGGAGATGTTTTGAGTTAAGAAAAAAACGCTTATTATTTATTGACCACGTGTTCGAAGGACGTGACGCGTATATCATCTATCGTTGACGGTAAATTTCATCTTTAAAACGGTGATTAAATTTACATGAAATTTCAAGTTCGTACTCACTGGATAAAACTTTTATGTATCCAACGATTCTAACTTGTGAAATCATTTTTCTTCACATGCAAATCCACACTGCTTACGATGAATTATAATTTATCAAAAGAACGCTACCATGTGAAGAAAGTATTTTTATAAGAATTGGTCATGTGACATCCTACTGGTAACCAATCACAACAAATCACTACGCAAGAAGTTAATATCAATGATCTAGTTAGTACCCATTCTCCTAGATATCTGACTCAGCCAAATCTGAATAGTAATGAGAAATGTCTAAACACAAAGCTAGAACTCGACGTTATATGATTTATGGAAGACGCGTTGGTATTCTTCGAAAAGTGAGTTGTACATTCGTATAAGTTGCGCACGATTTAACCATGATTTATTAAACCTGACAAGATTTAAGTCTAAAATATGCTTGTCCTATGTTGACTTATAAGTGCGGAGGTGATAGTTTAGGTCTTCTTCCAAAATTTTCGATAGAATTCTTCATTTAAAACTAACATTTCACTTAGACTTTATTAAGAGTCTCCCTTTTTGCCACCTTTCAAGATGGCGCCCGTGAATAAATTTGCCTCACCGTGACAACCATTTGTGACAACGGTTTTAGATATCTAGATCAGGGTCTCCAAACTTTACAGCCAGAGGGCCACATGAACTTTCATCAAGCATGTTGAGGGCCGACGAACCGTATACCGCTGGTCAAAGAACAAATATTTTAATAAAACAAAGTACATTACACAAGCTTCATTAGTTAAGAAAATATTTATTCAAAATTTAAAGGTTAAATTTCAATGAAGAGTAATATCATAACAAAATCACAATTAGTCTGTTAAGTTTTGTCAATGTGAGTGGTGAAATTGGCTTTCTTAAGTGTCTCTGCGGGCCGGATTGAGAGGCCCAACGGGCCGCATCTGGCCCGCGGGCCGTAGTTTGGAGACCCCTGATCTAGATGAATGGGTATATATCATTGGTTGATATTTTAATTCAGAAAAACGTGCTCGATTACGTCACGAAGTGTGCAAAGTGCAAATTGCATTTGCTGTCACAATAACAGAACATAATAGTTTCAAGAGAAGTAGGTAGAAGAACTGTTCTGTGTCAACTGTGTTCTTGAGCATAAAGCATAAGTTGCAATTTTTAATAATTTATGTCTTGGAACAGAGGAAACATTTCGAGTGAAGACGATAGCATGCCTTTCTTGCCGTCTGAAAAGCCGTTCAAGAAAAGGCTAGTGTCCAAAGATGGGGAAATTATGTTTGAAGTTAGGAATGTTAACGAGAAATGGCGTTTTCTGGTTGATTCTTTTACATCTTTAATGGCGTGGAGATGGCGTTGGGTTTTACTCCTATTCTGTGCATCGTATGTTTTATCATGGCTGATATTCGGTTGTCTTTGGAGTTTTCTTGTCGTTGGTTATGGTCCTGGTTATTGCGTAAAAGAGGTAAATTTTTCATTGCTAAAGTTCAAATAAATTGCAGATCATGCGTCAACTCAGTTTTAGTGTCAGGGTCAAGTTTATATAACACGTGAACGTGAGTGGACTGGTATTCTGCAATCGCTCTCAAATTTTTTACAATATCATTCTACATCAATTATCTCTTCTTTAATACTAGGTTAACGACTTCACAAGTGCATTTTATTTCTCCGTTGAAACTCAACAAACAATCGGCTATGGAGGTCGAATGATAACAACAAAATGTGTTTTAGGCGGCATTCTTCTTCAGCTGCAATCTCTCGTTGGCAATCTTATTGAGTGTGTAACTTTGGGAGTGATTTTTGCCAAGATAATTCGACCAATTAAACGTGCGAAGACGGTTATATTTTCAAAGAATATGGTTGTTTGCGAACGGAAAAACAAGTTGTGTCTTATGTTTCGACTGACAGACTTGCGAGAAAGCCAACTTGTTGAGTCACATGTGAGATTACAATTATTCAGCACAGTAGAAGATAATGGTAAAAATTATCAATTTCATCAACAAGACTTGGATGTGAAATATGATTGGAATTCTAATGTTGAAAAGCAAGATCAATTGTTTTTATTGATCCCTCTTACAATATTGCATGTTATCGATGAGAACAGTCCATTTTATGATTTAACTCCAGAGGAACTACAACAATCAAAATTTGAAATAGTTGCTGTTCTTGATGGGGTTGTGGAGTCTACAGGAATGAACACCCAAGCGAAGACATCATATCTTGCTGATGAGATCAAATGGGGATACGATTTTGTGAACATAATGTCAAAGAAATGTTTTGATGACAAGACAGGAAAGTTCTGGGTGAATTTTGAGCAACTTGATGCAGTTGTACCTGTAAATCTGCCCAAATTATCAGCTCGAGAGCAAAACAATGCTGCTTTTCAATAAGCATGTAAATATGTAGCTATGTTAATACAGTTCTTTCTCAACATGAGGTAAAATATTTTATCGATCTGATGACCACAAAAATAACGAACGTTCCCGTAATACTCTAACACCTATAGCATTCCATTCGTGTTGACTAATCCACAGTTCTTGGGCAGAGTCAAGGATACTCAAAACAGCTCCTCCTTTCCAACATATGGTTCGTATGTCTGTATCCTAAAGTTAAGGTTTAAAGTTTATATTGAGAAAACAGAGAAAGTTTTTTTCAAACACTAAAGCTCACCCTTGCTTTGACAATAACTTCAACAGAATCAGCCATCTTTGGAGTTTTACTATGCAATAACTTTGACTTTAATCGTTCTTGAAGTTTAGTAAGAGCTCCATTGAACATAAACCCTCCTCCGATGACAAGAATGTTACTGAGCAGTTTCAGTTGTGTTTCTTCAGAACCTAGAATGTATACACTGCCTTTTGAGAGGATTAACTCCTTGTTGTGAGAAAGTCATTTGTGTATCTTACCACAACAAGATATAGTTCGAATGATTGCATTATCTATTCCTAAACCTTTCTCTGTGTTAATTGCATCAGTTGTCATCTTCATTGATATTTTTTCATTTGGCTTGGTAAGATCATCAATATCCATCAAAGGCTGATCTCCTTTACCTGTTTTGGATTCTCTGCTACCAGACTACAGGTAAAGAAAACTTCCTGAAGCTATCATCACACATGACACATAAACTGTCTTTCTTACCTCTAATAATTGTTTATCATCAAAAAGATCTTCAGCATCGTCATAATGTAAAGATGGTGCACTAACTAGTACCTCACCAATAATACCAAACAATTGTGGATAAAACATTGCCTAAACATATGAGTAAAAATTCAACTTTCCACAATAAGTAACATTGCTATCTAACATTTCCTAATATCTACCATTGGCGCTTCCATAACTTCATCTCCAAGTTTAAGTTCAAATAACAGAGGTTTCACTCCTGGACGATGAACTTGAAATTCATGAATTTGACCAGCGGGGATTTCCTGGACAATGACACAGAAACAAAACTCACTTTTCCAAAGAGGAAGACGAATTTTTCAAGAGTAATTTCGATAAATTTTACCGGGTTTAAATGACAAAATGTCTCCTTCAGTTCTTTAATTAAATAAGCATCAAGTTTATCGTGGTAAGGATTACACTTCTTGTAGGGGAAATTCATCTAATATATTTTAATATTAACATTTATAGGAATACATTTTGTAAAAATATATTACATAGTGACAAAAGTTGAGGTGAAAACAATGACCTTTCGTAATAACCAATAAAAACACCTGGTAATGTCATTTCCACCATAATGTAAAATCATCCTAAATAATTAAAATCTGTTCATCAAAGGATAACAGTGAGATAATGAATGAAAAATATGATATTATTTATAATGGAACATCGCTATTAGCACCATGGCAACAAGAGGTCATGTTACCTAGACGATGGTAAGCTTAAGCCATCCTCTATGCAACTGATATAAGTCTTCTCATGACCAACATCAACCACACATCCACAGCTAATACCACAGCCAAAACAAGAGCTCACAGATTCCTATTCACACAAAAATTTGGCAAAAATTTGAATCTATAGCATGTGTATCCATTTTGTCACAAATCAAAATTGTTAAGCAATCAAAGCATTGTTATTGTGGCAATTACCAGCTGAATAATTGCAGATGAAAATCCAAGTCCACATAATAAAATGTTGAGCATTTCTTTGATGTGCTGTTTATTAAACATATCAGGAACTATAAGGACTGCATTATGGAACTATAAAAAAGTAAATATTTACATAAAATATAGTTTTTATAGTATGAATTTTAACCACATTACAACATCAACCTTTAAACTTGATAGTGGGATGTTAAGGACCGTTTCAATGGCATAAGCCCAGATTGTTTCAAGGTTGGCACAAATACAGGAAAGGGATCCACCGATGCCAGAATGTAGATTTAAGCTTCCACCTTTCATTGGCCAATGTAATGTATACGGGTCTTCATCATTGATAAACATTGCCTACATTTGATATTTCATGAAGGTTGAGATTGAAATAATTAGTGCATACTGTTTTACACTAAGAATTAATCAATACCTGTTCACCAACAACATATGACGGAGAATGACTGACATTAGTCCACTGGTTATGAGATACTTCATCCAATACTGTAGGATAAGATTCGGCATTAAACATTGCTACTTGATCTTGTAATTGCTGTTGTTTTTTTGCTTTTTTTGTGAGGATTCCTTGTTCAACAATGCTCAATGCTAATTCTTGTTGAGTCTTGCTCTCTTTTCCCTATAAATATATAATAAAAGCTAACGACATAATATTATGTAGTAGTAGACAATTCAATGTTAGCCAACTCACATTTAAACCTGGTCTGCACAACAGGCTTTGTGGCTCTTGTTGAATTGTACATGATTGGGGTTTTTTCCAAGCTATGACATGAGGAATGGAAAATGGAGCATGGTCCGTTGCACGACCAAGCCACAAAGTTGTGGAACCTGGATGTAGAACAATAATCGTACCAGCATGTACTGTCTCATAGTTCTATGAAAATAAGTCAAACATATTCTTGTTGTAGCATCACTTGGATTATGGTACTAGTGACATACTTAGATTTTATACAATCATAGTGAATATGGATGAGATTTTATTTCACCTCAGCTGTTGATTCAATATTTTCTGTTTCAGCCTTCACTCCTCGTGGCATTACGTATAATTTATAAATACATGTATTTCACCAAACACTCTTTAGCCACGCCACGATAACATTTTCCGATGTTTTTAACTAATCATTATTTCCATACTCTCACTGTCATACTCTTACATATCTCCGTGAAGTAACACTGTTTTATTTTGCATGGATCCAGACAATTGTAATGTTTATTTATTTTATTCGCTCCACAAGACAACATTGAAATTGTTTCTAAATTTCTAGTATTTTTCATTATTCCGGCGATTTCCGAAGATGCCACGATTAGTCGAGTACAACATGGCGGCAGAAGAGAGAGTAAGTCCATTTCCTCTGCCCCAACGGACTTTTATAAACTTTACACGGATGAAAATATAAAAGCGGGAATTGTCCCAGAACCTCCTCCTCCTGTTGAAGGAGAATACTTTGTATTTGGTCTTCGTTTTGAGGTAAGAACGATTTATATAAGTACTGCCATATACGTTACATAAACATATAATAGTCAAGTGTTTGTTGATTTCAATTATAGACAGATGAACCTATAATAAGATCACTGGAACAACAAAATGTTGAAAGATTGTATCCATTGAATTTTAGTATGTTAACAAAACATTACATTAAATGACTTAATTGTCTTTGTATGTTATTTAACATGGGAAAATCACAAAGACTTCCATTGATTTATAGACAGACAGAAAGAGCTGAAAAAGCTTAATCACTCTCTACTTGTTAGTTTTATTGAGCTGTTGGATATCTTGATAAACGAACCAACATCACCCAAAGTAAGTAGAACTTGGTTGTTTAACTGATGGATGCATTGATATTTATGTTACATTTAGTTAAATAGCTTATCTTGTATTTTTGACAGCGCGAAAAGAAACTTGGTGAAATTACTGTAATATTTATAAACATGCATCATCTTATCAATGAGCTTAGACCACATCAGGTAAAGATTGCTTGGTTTTTATCATATTTTTGCTTTTGTTTGTCTTTTTGATGCTTATGTTTTATAGGCTCGTGAAACTTTGCGAGTTATGATGGAAAAACAGAAGAAACAAAGGATTGAAACTGCTGATAAATTAAATAAGTACGATTTATTTGTTTTGTTAGTTTTCTGTTTTACTGCCCGAACTTATGTATATGATTCTCCTTTTCATTTGCCCAGACTTGTTGAAAAAATTACTTCCCTTGTTCAATCTTGTTCAATATCGCTTCATTCTGAAGATGAAAACAACAGCAATATTACCACTAATGAGGTAGAGATATTTAATATAAGTAACTTGTTCTGTTCTTTAGTAACTTTTATTTTTGTTTGTTTCTTTCACAGGATAATGATGACAAAGATCTTGTTTTAACACCAAAAGTAACTGAGGAAAAAGATCTACTGACATTATCAAACATGGCTGAAGACTTGACTTAAAAGATTTTATCAAATGTGTAAATTCATCAATTTGACTTTATGTTAGTCCAGTGTAGTTTGAGATCAGCATCAGCAGGGCTTCCAACTGCAGAAGGAAATTTTGACCTTTACAAGGAAAAAGGCAAGGAAATCAAATTGGGAAGGAAATGGAAAGTAATCTCTAATTCAGATAACAATTCCGTGCTTGTTGTGAAGCAAATATGTGAAATTGATCCTTAATGCCAAATCCAACCCTTCATCTCATAGAATAGGTTACACTATGATATAATGCTTAGTGGTTAGAGATTGGATTAAGGTGAGTTTCCAAAAAGAGAAATAAAGCATACAGTACTTTACAGTCTGTGGCTCAAAAACTGAACAAACTAGCCACATGCATCAAGCCAGATAACGATGAGGAGGACAGTACTAGTGATCGTAGTAACAGCCACAATGCATGTAGATCATCTAGTCTTATTGTTTTCAGTGAAGAATTCAATAAAAAGTAGATGTTAAGTTTAGCAGTCTGTGGTTACATGTCATGGTTTGTATACTTCACTATTGTTTTATATATAAAGACTTTAACTTTTTATATACTTTATTTTATGGTATAATGTACGATAACCACAGAATTAAGATATCCTAGATATTTGCCTGATGGGAAACGGATTCGTGTTAAAAAAACAATTGCACAGCATAAAATTCGAAATAAAGTCATTTTTTTTAAAGAAATTATTTATTATTGATTGTAACGTTTCGTCTTTACACAAGACATCATCAGACTGATTGTTATATGCAGTGCGGTGTTTGAAATTGAATGAAGATATGATGACACAACGGGATGAGTTGAGTCACCTGAATTTTTCAGGCTCATGAGACAATTGCTTAAATTGTCCAGCAAAGTGCAAAGATCATATCTTCATTCAACATCATCAGACTGATAGTTAAAATGATCAATTGTAATCTGACACTCATAACTACACTTCTACTATGTAATATAAACGAACATTTCCATTACTCTTGATATGAATATTTTTACAACTTTGTACTTCAAAAATAAAAATATAAAATATTCGTTATCGGTCATAAATCAAAATTTATCTTCAAATAAATCGCTTGCATCATTTTTATCAGCGACGAGTAGAATATATTCTGACAATAGATGCTAACCGAATGCCAGTAAAAAGCCAAAAAACTAAGAATATAGGCGATTATTAATGGTTTTAATAGTTTAATCAAATGCAAGCAAATGACACTTATCTTTCGAACCAACAATCCAATTTGAACTTGGCGGCCCGGAAGCACAGCTACATATTTATACTGATGGTCATGTGAAATTTATTAAAAGAGTGACGTTTCGTCTTTACTCAAAACATGAGTAAAGACGAAACGTCACTCTTTTAATAAATTTCATAAAACCAAATTGTTTATGACTATGTTTAAAATTATTTGTTGGGCTCTTATATTTATATTGAGAATCTGTTTCCCGCCTGGCACCTCATTGGCAACAATATTGATGGGTCATGTGATCATGTGGTAATTTACGAAGATGACAGGAAGGAGTCATATAATTTCGGACAGAATGGCACCTTCTACAGATATAAGAAAACTATGAATGCTGGAAAAAAAGTGTTTCAAGCCAAACCTCCAGATAAAGGAAGTTTCCCTTTAGATCATGATGGTAATATCATCAAGATTTGATATTTTGTTAATTGATTAAACTTAAAAAATTAAGTTGTTTATTGTGATGTATAAATTATAGGTGAATGCAAGGAATACATGATGAACTACATGCAATGTCTAAAGTTAAATAAAAATTGTAATTCAAAATGCAGAACAGAATCCAAACTTTACTTGGAATGTCGTATGGAGAGGTTTGGTGTTTTCACTTTTAAAGACCACAAAGTCTATTTTTTTGTGACATAAATTTTCATATTAACTACATGTAGGGAACTTATGGCAAAAGAAGATCTGGAACTCTTAGGATACAAGACATCAAAATAACCACCTTAAAATCTGCAAATATTTTATCATGCCCTCATTCTTGTGTATTGAATATTTTTCATTCCATTAACAAAGGATTACATTAAGTAATAGTTTGACTATCACAGGCCATATCCTGTCAATCAAGCTATTCCTTTGATAGGATTAAATAAAGAGTTGTTAAATCATTTAAATTAGACGAAAGAAAATGAAATTATTGTTATTTCCATTGTCTGAAAGTGAAGGAGTTCTTTGGAAGCCTGGCACTAGTAAGCATTTATCTCAAAATGGCGACTCACGTGTTACGAAGATCAATCAATCTTCTTCATAGAGTTTCATCGCTTCGTCTTCAGACAGCACGACATATTTCCGTGATTGCAAATCGCTATGCACTCAATAGCTACGACAGTAAATTAAATTTGACTGAAAAAGTGCAAGTCTTTTCTTTGCCTGCATGGCGAGCAAGCACTTGCAGATTATACAGTGAAGGGCCATCTTTAACTTCAGCTGAATTAGAGGAAAGAACCTTGGAAGTCATTAAATCATTTGATAAAGTTGATCCAGATAAGGTGGGCATCTTATAATAATAGGCGTTTGCTTCAAAACATTTGATATCTTCAAGATTCAAAGAATCTACTAATCAGAAACAGGGACAGATTTTGTTAGGTGTACCTACCCCCCAAAGAAAAATTCTGACATAATATTGCGTACTGTAAACGATGAATATAGCAGTATTAGAGGTTATGAAATTGTACAGTAAGACTAAGTAAACTTCTCATTTCAAAGGGAATTACAAATCATATGCCATAAACCAACATTTGCAAATTTGAGTATTACTATTGAATATTAAAATGAATTAAACCTGTATTCATTTACAAAAAAACATTCATTTACAAAAGAGTTCTGTAAGCCTAAAAATCCCCCAAAACCCAATTCTCTTGTATTTTTAACTAGGATAGTAATTTACCCCCTTGAAAAATCTGAACAGCTCCTGTCAAATGAGTTTTGATCTGCCCCTAATCTTATAAGATCACAAATTATAATGAGAAATTCCTAAACCAATAAAAAATTTAAGCAACATAAATTTTTAAATTGAAGTTAAGCAGGACATAATGTAACATCAGTAATTATAGCATGTGATTCATAGACCAAAACTTGATTTCCTATATACGTATTTTCTTTTTAAATTTTTAGGTTACACTTGATGCACATTTCATTAATGACATGGGTCTTGACAGCTTGGATGTTGTTGATATTCTCATGGCATTTGAAGATGAATTTGGTAATTTGAGCTTCAACATAACAATAGCTGAAATATCAACTTTCGGAAATTGTTTTTAAATTTAACTAATGAAATGTTAAATCATATTTCCCAGGTGTTGAGATTTCTGATGAACAAGCAGAGAAGATTTTCACCCCTAAAGAAGCAATTGCGTTCATGAAAACTTTTCTTGATATACATGATGATCATTGATTGAATAGTATAGATATTAAATGTAAAGTTGTTGAAATCCTTACATGGAATCTAGTATGGTTTATATCAAATGTCATTGTGAAGTTTGTAAGAAAACAGAAAAAAAATAATTATTTTGTGCTATCACTCCACTTGGGTTTTGAATTTTTGACAAAAATTACTAGTAAAATATTTGTCGACGACTTTTTTTTCTACAAATCAACGTAGGTTTTTGGCGGCGTATATTATTTCCAATTTACATTTTTACATTATTTCAAAGAGTTCTAGCAACGTGCGTGATTTATGAATAGATAAAAACAATATTTATGATGGAATTGCCTGCAGAAGAAAATAAATCTGAAAAACCTTGTCTTTTATCTTTGGAAAGTATCCTTTATTTTTACTGTTTTGTTTCAATATGTTTTAAAAACTTTTCAAATTATTCTTTCATTAAATTTCTTTGCCATGCAGTCTATGCTCTTTTTTGTTAAAAATTTTGTGCTTTCCTTCAGTGGCTCTCCAAAATCGGTTTTGTCCATGATACGGAAGCTCGAAGAGATATACTAAGAAAGATTTGAACTATTCCTGCATAAATTCCCATTGACTATGAACAATCTACAAATACACGTCATCTTTATTCAAAATAATGAAATGTAAAATTAAAGGGAATAGACATTAATTTGTAGACATAAAATATTTGACTTTAACAATGGTATAGTTTTACCAACAATCAAAGAAATTCAACAGCAACATGGCTTGAGACATGGGGACTATCAACGATATAGGTAAAATTTCTTATAAACCAAGGTAGTTACCTCAAAATTCAAGTGTAAAAAGATCATTTTACAATCTCAAAGGCAGTGCAAAGTTGGTAGCCATTGCTAATTGTGAATATTTAATGAAAATATCTAGGCAATATTGTGCTAGGAGACTCAGACGTTTGTATAAAGTGTTACAGTTTACTCAAGGAACGCGTAATAATGTGAAACCAAAGAGAGTTAGTGAAGATAAGCTTTCTGATGTGAGGTAGGATATGATGTTTGTTCTGATTGGTTGCACTGTTCTGTACTTGTAACATATGCATATATATATATATTTTTCCCAAGATATCTTCATGTTGTGTTGATGAATGCAGAAAGAGCTTGGAGTTATGCCATGGAACTTAAACTTCTTGCCAATACTGAACCAAGAAAGCATTTTCACATGTTACGTCGCTTGAAAAAAGCAACCCAGCATGCTTTGCAACTGAAGAAACTCAGTGAATCTGAACAATGTGATGCTCGTACAAAGCTAGAAGCACAAGTAGAATTTTCTATCATTTAATTTGTGTAGTTTCAACTTGTTTCCTGACACAATGATTTTTAGGCTTACTACTGCTTCATGATTGGTTCATTTAAATTTGAAAAACAAGAATGGAAAGAAGCTTTAGAGTTATTTGGGGAGGCAAGGTTTGTACATTTTATTTTTTCCTGTATTGAAATTTCGTATTAAACATTCTTCATGCAATTTCAGGACAATTTATGAAAAGCTTGGCAGTGCATTTACTGAAGAACAACAAAACTTCTACCAGCAAAAAGCAGATGAAATCACTCCAAATATTAGATATTGTGCTTATAACTTAGATGATGAAAATGTGGATATTAATGAGTTAATGAAAATGAAATTTAGTTCAGCAGGATCTGGTGCTCAGGACTTACTTGCTAATAAACTAGATGTATGTCTACATATTTGTATTTACTTTATCATCAAATGCTACATTTTATTTCCAAATTTTTTTAGATGTTGATATCTCAAAGTCGAGAAAAGCAAGCAAACTCGTTTACAGAGTTGACATGGGAAGGAAAAACAATTCCAGTGAAAAATGAGCTAGTTAGGGCTTTTCTTCTTCGTGTTGACGATAGTGAACATGAATTGGAGAGAGCTGAAAGTTTTGAAAATAAAATGACTGTCTTTGATCAACTTTTGATGGAGTGCAAAGATGGATTACAAAGTGTAAAAGATGAGATGAAGCCAGATCAGGTTTATATGTATTCCTTACTGTCTCAAACTCACCATGATACATGTACAACAAGGGTTATTTTTGCATTCTCTGATATGTTAATTATCTTGTGCTCATTTTAAATATATCTTATAGGGAAAATCCAAAGTTTCTGTGTCAGAAGCACATTTGGCCAATCTTCAGTTCCTTCATTCTCATCTAACATATCTTCGTTTGATGAAAACGGTTGAACGTAATCTTCTCATGGTGGACTCATTGAAGAAAAACTTTCCAACAATCTTGCTGCAACAGTCTGCAAGTTCTAATAGATCAGCTAATGATGCAAAGAAAATCACAAAACCAGAAGATCTTGTTCGAATATTTGATATCATATTGCAGGTAATTAATCTCCAAAGATTAATGCATCCTACTGTCTATTTTCTGGCCTTGTAATAAATTGTGATAACTTTGAATTTCTTCAGAATTTATCAGACATTGAAGATCTTCTTGAATCAACATTTGGTGAATCAACTCTTAGTCAGAAAATATCATCTCAAAAAAGTTTTTTTAAAGCTCACAGGTTTGTTGTCCTTATGGAGATTATATGACTGCATTTGTTATCTCAATTCCTTCTTTGTGGGTAATATTGTTATTATAAAAATTGATTTTGAGAAACATTCTAAAATAGGCCATTTAGAAAACTGATTTTATGTCTGTTTCCAGATGTTTGTACGTTGCTCATAGTTGTTTATTAAACAAAAGATGGAAAGAAGCAACTGCTTTATATGAGAGAGTTTTAAAGTATTGTGATGAAGCTATTTCATTACATGAGAAAGTACCTAATCGTGAGGTAGGATGATGTGTTATATTAACTTTTCATTTCTTAAAGAAATTGTAATGTTTATATGTATGTACTTATAAAAATCATTACCACAGACAGATCTTGATTTCCACATTTAATATTGATGTATTTATACCTAGGATAAAATATCAGAATTGAATGAACTTAGACGACAGGCAGAAGGTCATATGTACACAGCTCATGCTTTTCATCTTTTAGGTAAGGTATTTTAATTATTTTTCTTAAATAAAGTCAGTACCTATCTATGTTTATTGTTTTGTTTCTTTCTAAGATTTGAATGATGTTGGTGAAAAAGTTGACACACTTCAACTACAAGATAAAGTAAGTGTCACCAATTTAAAATAATAAAGAAAATTTCTAGATTGGCATTTCACTTTCTATTGTTCATTGAAAACATTGTTTTTTTTTCATCTTTCAGCCACTTCAAGAAAGACTTGATGTTTATGATGAAAGACCTCCAAACCTCAAGAAACCAAATATTACAAATTTTCCACCAAAATTTCAGCCTATTCCTTGTAAACCACTGTTCTTTGATCTGGCTTCCAACCAGGTTAACTTTCCATCTCTTTCTCATCGTATGGAACAGAAGAAAACCAACACTGGAATTACCAATTATCTCAAAGGATGGTTCTGGGGCAGTGGTAAAAGCTGAACAAATTTAATATCTAGGTTTACTGTATTTGTTGCAAGGAAAGTCTATCAAATTTTGTGAAATTATATTTCAGAAGTCTGAACTTACAGAAAATATATCTATTGTTGCAATGCTTACCATTTTAATATTCCATGTTATCAGCAATGGTGACATAGTAACGAGTGTTGGTACCATGGTAACCAGTTATGGTAACGTAGTAACGTATGATGGTGTACCATGACAATGATGCCAAGCATAATCAACATGGCAGAACACCTTTCTGACTTTTCGTACGTTTTACAAGGATTGAAATACGAAGCATATGATTTGTTTCTAAGTTATTGCATGAAATTTACGACATGTATCAAGGTGAAAGGTTAGCGTTTAACTTTAGTTTTTTAAAGCCGTAAAAATGACCCGAATTTCTGAAGAAAAACGGCCGATAAGGTTGGATAAAGTTTATTGTTTACAATTGTATTCACTTCTTGTAGTTAATATTTATTTGTGGATTTTATGATTTTTGTACTTGCTAGTGCAAATTTGACGGACACTGATCACCTTCTGCACGGGAAACCATGGGAAAATATGTCTATAGCTGGTGCTTTACCACCTTTAGCATTGACTGTCACATCGATCGATCAATCTCATGAATTGGAGGTTTTATATCTTGTGAACACTTTTTATAAGTTTTAATTCTAAAATAAAGTCATTCTGTTATGACTTACTTCCTTAGAAAAGTCGTAATGTCAAGAAAATTGTAAACCAGACTTCTTCTGACTGGCTTGCAAAAAATTGTCTTCAGTTTGAAAAACTGACTTTGGAAGATTTAATGAAACAAGGAATTCTTATGAGGTTATAATTTTATTTCAACGATGTCATTTATATGTTGTATGGTAAGCTTTATGTATTTTGGTTTTTGCCATTTATATTTAATACTATCCATGGTTTATATAGATCATCTTCTCAAGTCTCAGACACAATTCCTCATTTAAAATTTGAAGAAAAAATGGTGAAACAATTTGAATTGAAATTGAGGAAATTTATTGAAGAATGTGAGAAGCACATTGATTGGTTAATGAAAGGAAGTCGTAAGGTTTGTAGAAATATGTTTGATGTCAGTACAAGTTTTCCTGTTACTGTACTGTTGACATAATGGTTCTTTTGAATCATTTTTTTGTTGTAGATATTTGGGTTTTTAAATGGCAAAAGATTAGCCGTACTTTTGGATGCATCAAAAGAAAATTTCTCTGATAATCGTGTTTGTTATCTGAAACAATCTCTCCAGGTTGAAATACACTTTGAACAAAATCTCTCTATGTCTAATTGTAAATCTTTTTGCAGTTCTCATGAAGGTTTACCACCTAGAGATAAGATAGCTAAAATAAGACTAATTTGTCATTTCTCATATTTTCTCTCTAAAATTGCGACTGTAATTTTTGAAATGTACACAACATTTTTGAATTCAATTTGGAAAACAGGAATGTATTTATGTATTTCAGGAATTGATAAATGAACAGTTTGTGAGCAAGGAACAATTATATTTTCTATCATTTGGATCAAAACCTGAAGCCTTATGGGAAGCTTCACATGATGTAAACTGTAGAATGTAAGTCATAGCTTCTTTGTCACCTTAAACCTCGTACAGCTATATTTATTGAAATGTTAGAACTTGTGGTGTTTTAGAATAAATGAACTAAGAAAATGGGTGCATACCTTAGAGCCATCTGAGGGTTGCAATCTTCTCAATGCCATTCGACAAGTAATAAAAAGGAAAAACATTGACTCGATAGTGATTATTCTTGGTCGCAGGTATTTGTTTGAGAAAATATTTGCTAATTATTTGTTGATGCTTTGTAAATATGATATTGGCTTTTTATTTTTCTTTAGTCCTGATCAAAATGTTGAATTGATTTGTGATTATGTAAAGCAATCTTTAGCTGGTCGATACTTACCATTTCATACAGTATCATATTGTTCAAATGATGCTACTGTTGATGTAAGGATGATTTCATGAACTGTGCTATTTTACTTTTCTTCATTTTATGTGTATAACATGATGAGTTAATTTTCATCTTTGCAGTTGTTTCTCAAAGAGTTAGCAGAGCTCACTGGAGGAAAATATCATTGTTACTCTAACTCTTCAAATGTATGTTGAAAACATAAGTTGAATTAAAAGTAGCACATTCCTAGTGAAATTTAATATCTTTAAATGTGTCTAGGATAGGAATTTTACTGGTACTGATATTCAACTTTTACTCAATGAGATCAAAAGGTAGGACTTGCTTGGCTGACAACTTTGCAATATTGAAAATTATGTAAGTATTTTCATTTTCTTCATTGAAAAACTTAGCAATAAGGTTTTTTAGGAGAAATAACATCATCAACAATCTAATTATTTTGCTTTTATAATTAAATTGATTTTGGTAATATGACATCTCACACTCACAGTCATAAATGAAATGCGCATGCGTGTTATGTAAGATTTCACGTGACTTTGGTACACAAGAAGCGCGGGAGGGAAACGGGACCATGAGGTTTGATATTGTGTCTCAAACTGGTACAACATTGCTTTTCTGAGACATTTTCACTTCACCAGTCTTTGAAAAGTTCATTATTTTGGGCTTTTGGTCATTATTTTGGGCTTTTGATCAAATTATTAAAATCATCATGACCGCAAAGCTAATGAAATTGAATTTCGTCGACGAAGAAGATTTAGAGGATTTTGCAAATTTCACACCCAGAAATCATGTCAACAACGACAACAATGGTGATTTCTATGTTACTGGTAAAATTAATGGTTTAAATGAATTGAAAGAGCAAAAAGCAGAAAGCAACGCTTCATTTGCCAAAACCAAAACAAATAATGGAAGGGACGATAAAAATTCAATAATAAGCAGCAGCATGCCTATTGTTACGAGTGAAATAAATATTAAAACCGAGCCTTTGTCGTCAAATTCAAAAAGTGCTTGTGGCACATCTGAAAAGACATTTGCATCAACGACGGGTCTACAAAGACGCATGTATTGGCAAATGAGAAAACGTTATCCCTGTGGTATCTGTGGAAGGACTTTTAAACATCGTGGACATTATAAAAATCATGTAGAAAAAACACGATGAACAGAGAGAGAACATGGAGAAGTTAAAAGGAAAAGATTTAAAATAACAAAGTCTAAACAGGTGTACAATCACAAGAAAAGCATTTCCAAAAATATTTTATCCAATGGAAAATATAATAAAACAAAGAATGGAGAAAGAAGAGTTGAATTAATTTGTGATGAATGTGGGAAATCTTTCTATTCTTTACATGGTCTTAAAAGGCATAAAGCATGGCATAGAGCATGGCATGAACAAAAGTTTAAACAGAAGAAATCAAGCAATGGTACTCAAGCTTCTAATGGTGATGATAATGCACACAAAGGCTCGACTATACCATTTATACATAAGAATGTTGTTGATATTAACATAAATGATAATTTAAATGGTACTCTCCCTGAGAATCAACAGTCATGTCATCAACTACATTCATCTCCATCATCTCCAAATACTTCCAGTGACGAAAATGATAATACATTTCAAGAGGAATTGAGAAAGTCCATTGCTTCCATCAATAATAAGTTGAAATATTTGTCTGCAGATTATTTGCTCAACGAAAGTGATCAAAAAACGAGCAATAAAATGCAGGAAGGATCTAAACTCTCCAACTGTGATGAAGAACATGGTCTTTTGCCAGCAGAAGATTTTGATGAACAACAAATGTTACATGAGTTAAAAGCTGATGTACCTACCGGTGTATTATATGTATGCTTTCAATGTGCATCAGAGTTCAATTTGGCCAAGGATTTGATTGAACATTTTGAAAGAGAACATTAAGTCATTTCATGAGCTAATTTTTGTGATGAAATTCTACGTGTGCTATATTTAGTCTAATTTGATACAATGTTATTACAAAAAAGATTTATTATTTTTATAAAGTTGATGTGTATTAATATTAACTAGATTTTTCTTATATGATATTAAATTTTTCTCTCCTAAATAAACATTACTATATTAAATTGTTTCAGAGCTAAAGAGATCTTATTATCAATTGAAGAAATGAGACGAGGAAGATTGGGGGAAAAAATCATAACAATATCCAGAGATAGGGTAACAATATTATTAAGAAAGAAAATATTTTCATGGACCCCTGTTATCCCTTATTATACATAATTCGGTTGTAAATGATCTTTATTAAAGTAGGTTGAACCTCAGTATGATGTTTGTAAGTGTAGGTTGTCCACTTAGAGAATTCTCGATGTTGACCATTGAACTAAAATACATGAAACGCTACCTAAAGCAAATTATTGAAGCCAAATCTTACAACCAGACACGCAAGACTACACGCAGACACGCGTGTGTAGTGTTTCGACAGTCTCGTGGGGTGAAAATTGACTGAAACACACGCGTATCTGGGTGTAATCTCGCGTAAGATTTGGCTTCAAAAAATTATTAGGCTTTTTTATTACAGGTAGTGTGCCATGTATTTAAGTTCCATGGGGTATAATGGTACAATGGGGTATAATGGTACAATGGGGTATAATGGTTCAATGGGGTACAATGGTATATTTTAGTTCCATGGTGTATAATAGTACAGATAAAGGTTTTTATGGATGCAATACGAATGAGTGTTGTGAGATAAAGAAATGTACATCAATCAAATTCACAACACACATCATTTATGTAATGGGCATTGTCATTATAGCTGGCTGTAAAATGTGCAACGCTTGTATTAAATCAGTTAAAATTGTGGCTAATTTGCTTCATCTTGATGACATTTATATTGAGAATATCGTGACATTTAGAGATTCTAAACTTAAATATATATTATTATTTCGGGGTAATTGTAATGTGCTTTGTATAATGAAGAGTTCCATTAACTATGATACTTGCATGCTGAAGATTATTCCAAAACTGTTAATTCTTGTTCCTGAGAAAGCATTCTTTTTGCTTCTTATAATCGTATTAATTTATGTGTATTTTATTGAAGCCTCGTCTTGCTGTCGTTGCTCTCACAAATGAAAACACAAAGAAACGATATTTAAAGTCAATGGAAGATTGTCAATTGAATGTAGAAAAACCATCGTTTCCTGCAAGAGCATCTCGTGATTGGTTAAAACAACATGGTCTCAAAGGTCAAATGGAAATGATACTTTTCAATTTTCATCGTCTTTCGTATGAAACAACAAAATATCCTAAAATTTTCTTTAACGTTTTCTAGTTTCATTGTAGTAAATATTTTTGCCTTTTCAATTCTTGTAGGACGAGGCTTAAATCTTTATCAAGTACTTGCTCCAAACTCATATTCTTCTGTAAAAGGATATGTTCTTTCCATCAACAAAAATGTGAAATCAAAAGTCTATAATAAAGTAAGTTGGAATGTATGAAATTATAGTGAATTCAGTTATAAAAACCTTAATATGGATTTCCTGGTACAATACATCAATGATAAAATCATATGTTTGAGTTGAAAAATGAATTTTTTTTATTTTTTATCAGAGTATGACACAGTTTTCGTGGCATGATGGAACGATTAAAAATGTTCATGTTGATCCAACAATGTTGAATTTCTATCAGGTAGTCGTCATGATTGCTGCTAAATAACTTTTATCATTCATGTTCATTGCTATTTTTTCATTCTTTCCTAAGGATGAACTCAATACTGCTGTTCAGCGGTATTTAAGAAGAATTGAATGGTTAACTACAGGATGTCGCAAGATTTTTGGTACCCTTGTAGAACAAAGGTTTGACATGAAGCAATATACAAGTAAAGTAACATGTTTTAAAGCAGAGTGACGAGTATTGACGTTGGATAAACGAATTTTCACGTAAAGAAACGTAAAAACGAGCATTGACGTTGAATAAACGAGTTTTGACGTAAAGAAACGTAAAAACGAGTATTGACGTTGGATAAACGAATTTTCACGTAAAGAAACGTAAAAACGAGCATTGACGTTGAATAAACGAGTTTTGACGTAAAGAAACGTAAAAACGAGCATTGACGTTGAATAAACGAGTTTTGACGTAAAGAAACGTAAAAACGAGTATTGACGTTGATTAAACGAGTTTTGACGTAAAGAAACGTAAAAACGAGTATTGACGTTGGATAAACGAATTTTCACGTAAAGAAACGTAAAAACGAGCATTGACGTTGAATAAACGAGTTTTGACGTAAAGAAACGTAAAAACGAGTATTGACGTTGAATAAACGAGTTTTGACGTAAAGAAACGTAAAAACGAGCATTGACGTTGAATAAACGAATTTTCACGTAAAGAAACGTAAAAACGAGCATTGACGTTGAATAAACGAGTTTTGACGTAAAGAAACGTAAAAACGAGTATTGACGTTGAATAAACGAGTTTTGACGTAAAGAAACGTAAAAACGAGTAATGACGTTGAATAAACGAGTTTTGACGTAAAGAAACGTAAAAACGAGTATTGACGTTGAATAAACGAGTTTTGACGTAAAGAAACGTAAAAAACGAGTATTGACGTTGAATAAACGAAGTTTAACGTTAAAAGACAAGTATTGACGTTAGTGACGTAAAGAATTTATTATTGACGTAAGAGATGTGAAGTCAAGAGTATAAACGTAAAGTGAGGTACACTGGTGACGTAATATGGCTTTTCTCAAAGTGATTAAAATATCTTTAATGTTTACAGAGTCATTGTGATGCTTGACTTATCGCTGTCTTCAAGACATTGTTTTGAAACCTTAAAACGGGATCTGAAAATCTTATTTGAACAGCAAATGGCCAATAAGAAATATTTCAATGTTATTTGGTATGTTGTAATTTTTTTACATCTGTGCGATCAAACAATTGAATTTTTCAAAAAGATTTTCTCTTCATAAATACTTCTATTTTTATCTTCTTTTAAGCTTTAATAGCACATCTTGTATGTTTCGTACGTCAATGGTCAATCCTTCAAAGAAATATTTGCAAGAAATGTGGAGGTATTTATTTTAACACATAGCTTTAAGGACATACTCTTTATCTTTGGATAATGATGGCTTTCCATTTTTTATACAGTTTTTTTCCCAGCGAGCTTCGCCGTTAATATATTTGTCAAATTGCTTTCAACATAGATGGTTTCTTCTCAAAAGCTGTTCGGGAAGCAGAAATTTTCTCCAAGCTTTTAGGACAGCGCTTGAGAACAATGAAGATCTCTCAAACAAAAATGGTAAAACATTGAAAAAACAATAAAAGTATTTTATAGGGTGTTAAATGTGTGATGTGTTGGTTATAGTAATGTGGAATAGGTAAGTCTGTATAAATTGTAGTTGTGTATGGATTGTAAATGATCATGGTTTGTATAACTTTTTGTAATTGTAGATAAATATTTCGGTTATATTTGTTTATGTTTAGAAGTACAAGGAATATACGTCATTTCTACTGGTTTGCCTGATTCAAATATGGTATACGGATGTACATTACAATTTTGTTAACATTCATAATAATGATTTATATATTTTTACGATATCTTTACTTTTCAATATTCCTTTTTCTTAGGATACAACATGTTCCTTCATTAAGGAATCTTTAGCGGGAAGAGATATTACGCTGAACACCATTTACTATGAAGATGACACAAACGATTGTTCTGTCTTTCCTGGCAGGTACGCTTGTGGCAAGACTAATGCTGCTGACTGCTTGAAACAGATGGCTCATTCAGGCAGAGGGAGATTTCATTGGTACAATAGCAACGGTAACTACTGCATTTGTGAAAAAATATTTTTTGCTAAAACAAATAGCGATATTTGTGTTATTATTTAGACAATATGGTTGAATGTGATGATGTAACTGAAATACATAACGAGTTAAACAAGGCCTACAATTATTCACAAAAAGTTAGTGACGTAATTTTATATACTCTATGACGTACGTAAGCGTATGTATGTATAAATTAATTACACTATTTTTTATAGACGACAATGTTATTGGAAACTGTTAAAAGTACTCGACATCAACAACAGGTTTTTAATGTTGTCGCTCTCTCTCCCCTCTGAAGTCCCTTTCTGAATCCCTCCGAAGTTCCCCCCCCCGAAGTCCTCCCCCTCCCCCGAAGTTTTCCCCTCCAAAGTCCTCTCCCTCCTCCAGAAGTTTTCCTCTTCGAAGCCCACCCCCTCCACCCGAAGTTTTCCCCTCCGAAGCCCTCTCCCTCCTGATGTTCAAATTTCTTGTAAGCATTTTGTAATTCTCATTGACGACTATTTTTTTACTTAAAGATTGAGAGTTGTAATGAAAAATCAACACTTCCATTACCTGCACCTCAAGGACACAATCCTCTACCTCCTCCGAAGCAAACAGCTCTTTCTCAAGCCAGACTGGTAATGTGTTTTAAGTTTTCTGCTATTCTTCAACAAAAATTTTGTTTATATCGATTCTTTTTAAATTCTCCACAGAATGTTATGAAACAGCAACCATCTACGACTTTTATAAAAAGAAAACATCGACCAAAAACTGCTGATGCAAAGTCACGTGACGTCTTATCGCTGAAGCCGTTGTCGTGGAAACCAATTAGAAGAAGCTCTAGTAGCAGTGTTATTTCTGATAGTAAGATACGTAGCTGGCGAAAGTTTTCCTTATTTACTAATTATTGCTGATGGCGTTTGTTCTATAGTTTTTTTTGCTTTTATTTTAGGGTCGAGAACAAGAAACAATGTAAAATTAACTCCCGAAGTTCAAAGACAACTATTTTATACTGAAGTTGGCAATAGTATTGGTGAGATTTCTCAACTTGATGCTACTGCTGTCGTTTAATACTAAAGTTAATTTTTCATTGTTCAGGTTCAATCTTGAAGGAATCCCACAACGCAACTGATGGGAGATCAATTATGTACAACAAGCTCATTAGAGATGTTTATATTCCAGAGAAAGATGAAAATTTATCAACTCGAGAGGTGATTTGTCATCTTTATTACCGTTTTCTCCATTCTATATGTATAATGTTGTTTTGTTTATTGTTAGTGGATGAGAAAGTACAGTATATCAAAATTAAAACTGGATTTAGATCAACTTGTTGGAGGAAAAGAATGTTCACATTCAAAAACTAAAGTTACCACCATTAATAAAACCGTTCCTGCAAGGTTTATAAATACTTTGTTTATGATTAAATCTATTAAGAATTTAGGAATATAAGTAATTTTCTGTTTAGATATTGTGATATTTTTCCTACCATTGAAGTTAAGGTAAGTGAAATGTCAATGCGTTATCTTATCCGTCTGTTAACTGCCATATTAATGTAACTTGTAACATGTAACTTGTAACTTGTAACTTGCAACATGTAACATGTAACTTGCAACTTGTAACGTGTAACAGGGAGTTGCAAAACATCTTCACCTTACGTCACGTGATTTACAAGAGTATGAAGAGAAAATGGAGAAAGTTTTAAAACGTTATGTTAAAAGAATGCAGTGGCTAATGAGTGGTAAGATTATTATATTTGACAAGAATGACGTATTGATGACGTATTCTAGGTTTGTTGCATGTTGAAACTTTTGATATGTTTCTACGTAGGTAGTCGTCGTGTATTTGGGTCAGTAATTGAAAGTAAGGTAGGGCACTTACATCAACGTGTCTTTGTTTCATAAGTATAACATGTTGCAAATTATCTCGTTGTCATGGTGATTTAGATTATGATCATGATCGATACTTCTTGTGCAATGATCAATTATATTGATGAGATAAAAAGTCAATTGACCGGACTTATTTGGGAACAATTAAGAGAAAACAATATTATGTAAGTTTACAATGATGATAACTTTCATTGCGCTGTATTCTTATAAGGCTAGGAAATACACTCCTTTTTTTACTTTAGTTTAATGTACATGTTTCTTTAAGGTTCAATGTTATGACGTTCAACGATGAACCGACATTATGGCGACCTAATGTCGTTGCTCCTTCTGAAGAAAATTGTTTGGACGCTGTACGATGGATTGAAACATTCAAAGCTTATGGCGAGGCTTGTATTGTTGAAGCATTTAGGGTAAATTTACTTTAACTTTTCATTCCATTACTTCCACATAATATTTATTAACCTTTCTCGTCATTGACATTGACTCCATACAAGTTTTTTTCCACGTTTTTCTCTTCCCTGTAGGCTGTGTTTTTCTCTTCCCTGTAGGCTGTGTTTTCTCTTCCCTGTAGGCTGTGTTTTTCTCTTCCCTGTAGGCTGTGTTTTCTCTTCCCTGTAGGCTGTGTTTTCTCTTCCCTGTAGGCTGTGTTTTCTCTTCCTGTAGGCTGTGTTTTCTCTTCCCTGTAGGCTGTGTTTTACTCTTCCCTGTAGGCTGTGTTTTTCTCTTCCTGTAGGCTGTGTTTTTCTCTTCCTGTAGGCTGTGTTTTTCTCTTCCCTGTAGGCTGTGTTTTTCTCTTCCCTGTAGGCTGTGTTTTTCTCTTCCCTGCAGGCTGTGTTTTTCTCTTCCCTGTAGGCTGTGTTTCAAGATGAACAAATCAAAGGCATTTATTTGGTGACACAAGGAAATTTTGTAAGTGTTAAACTTTTTGTGTTACGGTTAAGTTAACTTTCTTTCATACCATACTCCTTTTCATACACCCATAGTGTTACATCATTCTGTGATATTATACTCCTTTCCATACACATATGTCATATCATACTCCTTTTCATACACCCATAGTGTTACAGTATTCTGTTATATTATACTCCTTTCCATACACATATGTCACATCATACTCCTTTTCATACACCCATAGTGTTACAGTATTCTGTGATATTATACTCCTTTCCATACACATATGTCACATCATACTCCTTTTCATACACCCATAGTGTTACAGTATTCTGTGATATTATACTCCTTTCCATACACATATGTCACATCATACTCCTTTTCATACACCCATAGTGTTACAGTATTCTGTGATATTATACTCCTTTTCATACACATATGTCATATTGTACTTCTTCTTTGCATACATCTCTGTCATATTATACTCCTTTTCATTCATTACTAGGACATCAGTTCAACGATGCTACTTCGTGAGCTTGCGAGATTAAACAACACAAGACAAATCAAAGTTCATACTATATCTTTTAACTTTGAGGACAGGTGTAGTTATTTACTATTATTGCTCGCGTTCCGTCTTTATGATTCGTGTTTTTAAGATAATTTCATAGATTTTCTTCTCTTTTTTATAGTTCTGTGAATAAATTTCTTCAACTTTTGGCAAGTCAAACTAACGGAAGGTTTTTATGTTCATCATGCTTGATTATGCTGGATTTTTTTTCATGAAGCGGTTGATGACTGATTTTTATGTAGATTTCATCGGACACAATCGGAAGCCGCCGGTCATTTGTTCGCTCATCGTTTGCTTGCTGCTAAAGGTCAAACAAATGAGGTATACATTAACTTGTTACAGTTTCGTTGTTTAAAACTTTACCATAAATTTTTCATCGTTTTTGTAGATTTTAACAGTTCCTGTTTTTGAAGGAGATGATTTGAAACGTCTGGTACACGAAATCTCACTTTGTAGAAAATTTCTGCTACAAGCGAGATCATACAGGTCTTTTTTTCCCATTGCTTCATTCTGTGTTTATATTTTAAGTATGACATTGATTATTTTACTAGGGCATTGCTGTATGAGCATTCTCAAAAGATTGGTGAAATAAATTCACCGCCAAACAACCAATACCCACATGCATCATAACTTTTTAATAACTTCATAGTCACCATCTTCAGGGTTCCTGCAGCTGCATAAAATCCATGAAAAGTTGAATTATAATTAGCCAACAAAGGACTTTTATTGTGGTCATGAATAAAATATTATTTTGTTTATCGAAGTTTTATATTTACACATTTATACTAAGAATTTGTTTTCCGCCAGGCAAATCCTCGGTGTTTGTTACTTAAAGTGAAAAATAAATTTTTAGGGCACTTGAAAAGTCGTTAATAATAAAAATACAAGGAAGTGCTTGAAAAGTACTCACACGATAATCTCTTTTAACACTGATTAAAATTAACCACGAATTTTCAACTTTGCAGGCATATTATATAACTGAACATGATATATGTTTTGGTGTGTTAAAAGTGGTAAAACTGTTTCTCCGTTGCTCTGTAAATTACAAGTCTGCAAATCCAAATCCAATAAAATCAGAAACAAGATTTAACAACAGTAACTGCTCTTAAAATGTTACTCATGAAAGTTCTTGTATTGTATAACTTGATTTATTTGTATACTGCAAAATTATCTGTTGCAAATAGAATACTGCATAGGAAAATGCTTTCGAAATGAAGTATTGACTTTTTTTAAAAGTTTTTGAAATATTTATAACTAAAATAGAAAAATTTCTAATGCGATTCTTGTTCGTCATTGGTCAATTGAGTGATTGTGACGTCACTCATTAAAACTAACATGGCGGCTTTTTTGAGTTTTTTTCCTCAATCTCTTTTTGGCTACAAAAACACGTTAATGACGATCTAAATCATAAGAAATTTCGCCTGATGGCTAGAAGAAGATCATCAGGGAAGAAAAACTCTGTTTCCTTTGAAAAAGTTCCTGACTTCTTAAATGAGAAGGTTACGAGCAACGAGAAGTCGCCTCTACAACGTAGAAGGTACATACTTTATTGGATATTATTTATTCCCGTGTGTTTTGCTCTTCACTATATTTGGTATACTTTTTCGATTATGCTATGAAACAGCATTAATTAAATGTGATTGAAGCAAAAGAAAACAAAAGCTTTTGTTGCATTACACAATGACCAGTTCAAACACACGATTGACAATTGAATTCATTAGATTTATTTGCAATGTTTACATAAAATGAGAATTACTTTTCATAATGCAGGTCGTCTGCTAACAAGGAGGCCGATCGAAGAGAATCTCTTGTTAACAAACTAGACGCTAGGCGAAGTGAAATTGCGAATGACTCAACTCGTAGATCAAGCGAGATGGCTCGATCTTATGGAAGATATGAGAAATTAAAAGATACTCCGGATCATCTCTATGGTACAACAAATACTCATAAAATGTTTACACTTTAATCTTCTATCCGTCTGTATAGATTGGAAATTTCATCAAACGATTTTTCAATCGCTTACATATTGACGATTGACCAAACTGCTTCAAATGAAGACGTAAATTTCAGCTAGTTTGTTCATTCACTATTTGTAGGTCTTGATAAACGTCCAGTATCTTCAGGTAAAATTTTCAATTTTTTATCTCTTTTATTTTGTTTATTGAACAAATTTACTGCAAGATATAGCTTAGTCGTTTAAAACGTTGAGCTGTCTTCAATTGGTTTGTTATGTGTGCTTTTCGCTTTCATTTATTTTAATAAAGGTTAAAACATAGAAGTTGAACACTTAATGGATGTTTACACAATTGCGTGTTTGTCAAAATGACTGCGTAAGACTGGGACTGACTTACATAACTCTGGGACTGGGACTGCATAAGACTGGGACTGACTTACATAACTTATTATGGATAATGACAAAGACTTTAGTTATGTTTTTCTTTCTTATGTAATTGATGTTGAAAGTTCACTCATCGTTGTTTTAACATCACCATTTAGACATCTTTTTGTCTTTGCTGCCTAAATTCTTGTTTTCTCTTCATTACCTGCATTTTTTTATATAAACTGTTGCCCCAAATTTTTATTCTTTAGCGTTTAAAAGACGAATTGCATTCAATATATCAACGTCTTTTATCCCTCAAGTAATTGTGCTTATGGTTTATTGTTTAATTTTTATTTTTTTATAGATGAGGATGCTGATATTGACATTGGCGATGTTTCACACCAACACTCCAGTATTAACGAAGTCAATGTACGTCTTTATCTTGATAGTTTTGTGAAACGTGTTATGTAAAAAATAATTTATTTTTGCGAACGTTATCCCGAGGATAACTCAGCAATGACAAGTTTGGAAGGGGTCAGTAACGGGGTGCTCAGGGAAGGCTGGGGTGAACGTAGATTTACATGTTTAAGGGGTCAGTTAGGAAGTGCTCAGGGAAGGCTGAGGCACAGTATAGGTATATACAGTATGGGCACTTTGCTGTGCACTGGCTGCTGTATGTTTAATTAGTTTACTGGCTGCCGTTTGCCATATCGTCAATCTTATTGGTCACAAAATGCAATTTACTGGCTGCCAATATGATAATCACATGCGCAATAAGATATGCGTGGCAAGAAAAAATTCAATGAAGTGACTCTACTGTATGTTCTCTATACTGTGGCTGAGGTGAACGAAGATTTATATGTTCAAAGAGTCAGCTAATTGTGTTGCCAGTTTAACTCGTCAGTCGTAGATCGTAGTTTGTGCATTGTTATTTGTCAGTTCTCTTCTCCTTAGCAGCAGATTCATGCATCGAAATTTAAAATAAATTGAATGAAATTTCGCCAACGAAGTTTTCTTTAAATGAATATATAAAAAAATAACGTTCATTTCTCTATTCTCACGTACCCTAAAGCTACCACTCCGTTATTGACACCTTGTATGAATCAAACATTTTATTGCATTCTCCAGTTAAAGGGAAAAGTTAATGACTTTTTTCAAAATCATTGGAAAGGAATTTCTGGACTTTTTTTAATGATATTTATTGTTGGTTTGCTGACATCAACTATACTTCAAGGTAAACTCACTGTCATACTTATTTAAAAACGTTGTTTATTGAGAAAATATATTGGATTACTAAATTTTTTTGTTTTAGCTTTGAAGACAAGCGAAAGAATAAAAGATGCTGTCAGTTTTTTGTTTAATGCCAAGAAATTAAAGAAAAAAGAAGAACTATATTTTATTCATCTCTCCTTCAGGAAAAACAACAAAGTTCTGAAACTCTTAGAAAAATTGAAGAAAAAGTTGATCGATTATCCTCAGTGTTACAAGAACTCTCAAACTATTCTGGTAATGCTGTAACGTTCTCTATTTCAACAAAATAAAGATGTTTTAATAATTACTTTTCAATTCTTTTTCGACAGAGGAATCACAAGATAAAAAGGTTGCCACGCTGTCTGAAAAGGTCGATAAAAAACATACTTTGAAAACTGGCATTTTATTCTAACTCATATTGCATTTATTTTATTATAAAGCAGTTTGTAATTTTTGTGGTTGTGTTTAGAATGTGAAAGAAATTGTGGAAGCTGCTTTACGGCGATATAATGCAGATAAAGTTGGAATCGCTGATTTTGCCTTAGAGTCGTCAGGTAATTTTAAAATGAGAAGATCATTTTTTTGATGAAATAGTCTGTGTGATGTTTCGTTAAATATTTTCAGGAGCCCAAATACACGATTCTTTCCACAGTGAAACTTACGATGTTGGAGCCGCCAGAGTAATACTCTTTGGTTTGCCTTTATGGTTGGACGTAAAATCACCTAGAGTAATACTTCAAGTAAGAACAAATCTAACAAATTTTATGATATGCTTAGATTTTTATTATGTTATGCAATGTATATTTATTTAACAGTATAAACATATATTTCAGCCAGATAACAGTCCAGGTAACTGCTGGGCGTTTAAAGGTCAAAGTGGATATGTTGTTATAAAGGTACATTTAGAATACTATTATGAGCACGTGATCAGTAGGAGAAACTTTGGGATTAAGGGGGTCGAAGAAGGAGACTTGGGTGAATAAGTGGGGAAGCTTTTAAACACTTTCTTTCGTCTGACGGTAAGAAAAGTTGCAAACAGATTTACTAACTGCATTTTAAATTGATCCAAAACAAAAAAAAACACAATATTTGAAAAAAGTTCAGTGGCAGATTATTTATTACGGGTCTGTACGCAGTAGAGTAGTCAACCTGCCACATAAATTTCAGATCATTATCGTTATTCATTTCTTTAGAAATCTATTGTTTTCCTGTAAGTGGACACATTCAAATTTTTATAGCAAGACTAAATAATCGGACTGGCTTCGTTGACTAACAAAGTTGTGCGTCCTAAGTGATATATATTCTTACGACTACGTTCAAACTCTTGATGACGTTTGCATTAATCATTTTCAATTGCTTAAATTGCATTTCCTGGTTTTGGCTGTCTTGTGTTGGGAACCCATGGTCTAAACAATAGGGAAAAGTTCATTTTAAAGTTGAAACGAAATTTCTAAAATTTTGACATGGTCAGCGGAGCTAGGAAAATCCATCACTTCATGAGTTCTAAGCATCGTGTATTTAAACAGTAGATAGTATGGAGACCTTTTTTTCTCAATACGTTTTTCACAGCATAAAATGGCCTAAATTAGGCCTTTTGAACTAATTAGGAGTATCAAGAAGTAAACAGTAATTTATTTCTAGATGCAATGAACCTCTTAAAAGCGCAGGCTAGTACGATTAAGATATTTTTCCCACTGGATAATCCGTTAGGGCTTAAATTAGTTTTTGTGAAAAAAAGTAAATCTCTCTTTGCTTCAACATAAAAGTTGTTGAAGGATTCTAATCAGCTTTTCTAATCAGAATATTCATCAACTTTACAATAACAACTAGAAAAATGGTAAACTATTATTCTGTGTGTGGGGGAGATGGGGGCAAAGCCTCCTGGCTCTATACTCCACGATGCCTGCAGTAGATAGTGTTAAAACCATTTATATGCAGTAAAGAAAGAGTCGACATCGGTTGTTTGTGTAACAACAATTTCTTGTAAAGATTGTTTTACTAGTTGTATAACCATTATAAAACTTTTATTAATATATGGTTTTATTACCATTGCGTCCCCATTATTTTGAAATGCAGAGGCGCACACATACCTATTAAAACTAGGGAATTTTATGTTATGCATTATTTTATACATTATTTTATACACTTCATAAGCATCATACATCATTTGTCAAAGTAAATTAATATAATCGTTTTTCAATTTTGTTTATTTATAACTTTCGTTGAAACAATGTTTTTATTTTGTTAAGTTATCAAAGATCATCACTCCTACAGCGTTTACTCTAGAACACATTCCTAAAGTTTTATCGCCAACGATCGACAGGACAATACCTAGCGCACCAAAATTATTCCAAGTTTTGGTAACATAAAGTATTATCTTTATATGAATGATTTTGTTGTTAGCATTTTGCAAATCACATAGAAAAAAATGAAAATGTTAAGTAACAACTTTATTTTTAAAAACGTCTTGTTAAATGCTTTGTTTTTGTAAGAGAACTGTAATAAAACTATTTATCTCAACATCATTTGAACCAAATATATAATTATGTTTATGTTACAAAGTTTTGGATTTGATTTTTCCGTTGTAAAGCCTCCAATACAACGAATACATAGAAGTGCTAGATATATTTGCTTAAAGGAAAATGTAAATCAACCTACACTTTATTTTAACAAGCCTGTTTTGTCATTACTCACTCGCTTAATCCCCTGATACAGGCTTGACAGAATGAAAAGTTTTCTACTTTCCATTAAACAAATATATAAGTATATGTTACATATTGAACGTTAAATATTGATGAATTTTATTTCAAGTTAAAAATTCAAAGTATTACAACTTTAGGGTTGGAAAGACGACAGCGGTAAAGAAAAAATATTGTACGGAAATTATGAGTTTAATAGTGACGACGACTTTTTACAAACTTTCAAAGTTCAGGTTCGTAGCAAATGGTTTTCAGCAAATTATAGTTTAACAAGAAGAGGATTTAACAATTAAAAAGACGATTTTTTTCATTCGTAACAGAATATCAAAGACTTAATTCCTGTCCAATATATCGAGTTTCAAGTTCTAAGTAACCATGGAAACAAAGAGTACACGTGTGTTTACAGGTTCCGTGTCCATGGCAACCCCCAATAGCAATAAACAACAACAGTATGAAACTATTCAATTCAAGTTGTTTGAGAATTAAATTGTATACTAACTAGAAAATATATTTCACATATTTCAGCTTTAAATACTTTTTTTTGCTTTCTTTTTATACATGTTTAACAATATTCAATGTTTTTATTTACAAACATGACACTGTACTTCCCCTGTTTAAACTTTATATTTAATTTTGGCTAAGTGTCGTCTTAGTTATGACAAAATTCAATTGAAGATATACATTGTTTACTTGAGCAATATTGAGCCAATTATTGAGCTGACTTTAAAACATCTTGCTAATAGAAAACCAGCAAGGTATGAGCTCATTAAGCTGTTTTATGCCTATGCTATATTTTGTACCAGGAATAATGATAATTTCTATTTACAGGCAGCTATTATTTATATTATTGAACTACTAAGCGATCTAGAATTATTTACAAGGTGAATATGTTTGTTGAAGATGTATTTGTTTATTGAGGCCTAGTTTGTTTTTTTTTTAAGTAAAACGCTTCCTTAAGTTTTAAAGGGAGAGAAAAAGCGTTGATGGTGTCTAGGGTGCAAAAATATGAAGGACTGTATTTGGTTTACATTGTGGTAAAATGATTAAGAAAATTGTCGCTCACTTAAAATAATTTATGGCTGTTTTTTCCAGCAACTTTCATTGTTTCAAAATTTTATAGAAAGTTTGCCAACTTTGAAACGTTTGATGACAAAAATTTTATGCTGTCAATTTTCTTTTTAGAACAATACGAATGCAAGTTAGCGCGTTGAAATTTTTCATCTGTTTTAAAATTCTCGCTTGCATTACAAAAATGACATTACAACAGTCTTTTATATATTCAAACTTTGGTGTTTTTGCCGCAAAATTCTTCACATGAACTGAAACTGAAAAAGCTTTTACAAATTTTGTGCATCTATCCATTTCGAACCTTCATTTTTCATAAGTCCGTGATGTTCACCTTTACATGACGTATTAGCGTTTCTCAATATGGCCGATGGACTATCACTTCAAATGTCATGTGAAGATTTTACTGAATTCAAGGTACAATATGCTTATTCTATACACTGTATTTATATATTATATATAACATGAGTTACGTTTTAAGATAAATACATAAATTTTGTTGATATTGTTAATAGGAAGCATTGAAAATCTTGCGTAGTGTTGATGATAAAATAATTTATGTCTTGAACAAGAGTGTGCCTACATTATCATTTACTGCTGAAATAAATGCAGAAGTTAAATGTAAAGAATTACATGAAGAGGTTGGTTTTCAATCAATTTGTCCAAGTATTATTAAATAGATTCAAAATTGACTTTAATAAAGTTTTCATTTTCTATTTTATAGTTGATTAAAGCATACACTTCCCGCCAGAATATAATTAAAAGATGTATTAGTGAAGTTTCATCAAATGTGCGAAATCTACAGAGCAAACGAAATTGTGGTGATGAAGACAATGAAGTATTGAATCACCTTAGAAATGAACAGACAAAGGTACTTAGTTTACTTGTATTTTTTTAAAGTGCTGTATATTAATTTCATTTACTTTGAAAGAAGAAATGAAGCAAGGATTAAGTTAGCATAACATGATTGCAAGATGATTTTTTCTTTTGTGAAGCAAAACTTTATGACTTGTGAAACTGGATTTTTGATAAATGGAAATGTTGCGTAAGCTAGCAACAGCTACCCTTCAGAAAAATGGTTACAAAAATTTCAATGTTTGTTTGCTGTATAATATGAAATTTGTGAAAGTTTGTTTTAGAAAGATGATATTCTTAGAGGGAAATATCTTCTTTAGTTGCTTCATTCGTGATGATTTTCATTATTAAGTTTTTTAACTATCACTACTGACATTAAAATCAACATTTTCCAAATCATATTGAACATCATATGATTATATAGCTTCGATTGATGCAGTCTGAACTCAATGTTGAAGATGTGATAAAGCAACGAAGTTTAAAGGTGAGTTGAAGAAAAATGGTTATTTTTGTTGCTAATAACAATTTTTTAAAGTTATTTTCTTGTTTCTTTGGACTTAGGTTTTCAAAGAAAAATGTTGGAAAGTGTATAAACTTTGATCGAAATAAATTCTTTCAATCTTAGTGAACTTTAAATGTTGGAATTCACTCAATTGTAGTCAACTCAAGTCCTTGAATGTTGGAATTCAACTTCTATTTTTTCAACTAGCACATCTTTCTCTACCTAAATTGCTTTGATAATAAAATATCAAGAAGTTATTGCTAATTAATTTTATTGCATTTACATTATTATTGCAATTATACTCGAAATGTCTAGTTAACAAATTAATGAAAAGTGTCAGTATGTTTTATTTCAAAAGTATTCAATGGGATCGTCCTTTGTCTTAAACAACTGTATTGCTGCCAGTTCTGGTTGAGGAGTTACATTTCCTTGTGGCAAGGGTTGAAATACTCGCAAGTGAACATACTTTCCATCACCCACATCAACCTTAATTCATAATTACATTTAATTAATAGATTGACAAAGTTAAATTTTCACAATCTCTTACCTTTACAAAGTAATTTGTGCCAGCTACAAGCTGGGTTTTGTACGATACAGCTTCGTATTTATCAAATTTTACACCAGCTTTGTTTTCAGCGGCTGATCGTACCTAAAACGAAATATTTGACAAGTTAATAAAAACGACTAAATACATTCTTTTAACATAAAGAAGCTGAATACAATTGTGTCGTCTCACATCTCTTGTCTTGTGACAAAACCTTAGTCGGACCATAAAGTAAGTCATACCTTTTCAATCAGTTCTTGAATAAACGCGTCTGCTGGATGAAGATCGCTACTAATTCCACCCACCATAGAAGACATTTTTAAAGAGAGACAAATTGGTATTTGACTCGAGAGGAAACAAGTTAACAATATGCAAGTTATTTTCATTTCAGTCTTGTGACTTGTTTATAATTCTATAGCACAACAGTGACTGCGCACAGTGCTGCCACTCTGTTTATGCACATTTCACCTACCGAAACTTTATTTTCCTCCTACTTCCCCTTACTACGATTTTCCTTGTTTTCCCTTACTTTTCCCCTACACAAGTGCAAAGAGTGTTTAAAAAATAATTTAATATCATTAATATCATTGGAAATTTTTAAACAATCCAAGAAATGGAATTTTACAACATAAAATATTTCACTCTATTTTATCTACCTTTTAAAAGAAGAATTCGACCAAGAAAACAATGACATTCCAACAATTTGACAACTCAACTGGAGTCTGTCAATATCTTATATACAAGCTACACAAAGTATTGATACGGAATAGGATGATTACTGACCGCGAAACTAACTGTTTCACGAAGAAGAAAGAAGCATGGGAAAGGCGGTGAACTTGAAATTATATACACCAACGTTCGGCAAGTTCGTCAGGCTGAGTGCCTTTCAAGTGTTGTTTTGCTCAAAATGAATGCAACGGAGACCCGAATTCGTCGTACCATACTGTCATTTTTTGGTAAGTAAACTTAGCTATTGGAAAAACAATAAATTGTGTGCTGTCTTTTGTTGGAAATCTTCGACTGATTGTTGTTCATGTAGTTCATAGTTCATACTTTTTTGAGTTATATATTAAATGCCAAGCGTTGTTTGTATCCACTTACTAAACGTGCTACAAAACATAAATTTTTCGCGAAAAGCTTGCTTTTACTACATATTTCAATGTGCTATTACTATATAAGACTATTTCAGCGATGTGATATTGGAGTTTATCCACATATGGGTCAAAGATACAAGAGTATATTAAAGGTTATTATTTTTATTAATGTCTGACGTTGAATTCAGGAATTGTCACTAATTATTTTTAATTCAAACTGTTTTAATCATAGCTTTTTGTGCTACTAAGTTTCATGTATAAACGAACAAATGTATTGCATGCACTTTGCATATTGTACATGAACATTTGCATGTCACCTTTTGAAGTTACCAGAAAACGAAACAGACAACCAAATTTCATCTTGGTTTGCCCCTGTTTGCAAGATGAAAACTACTTTTTGAGCTGATGGCTATCACAAGAACAAGCTTTAAAGTCATCTATTGTTGGTTTTGACTACTTTTTTTTACAGTTAGTTAATTTTGTTGAGGAAGAAGGCTTTGACAGCCATACCAAAACATTGTGTATGTATTATGTTGAAAACAACAATCCACAAGTAATTTTTTGTTTGTTTGCTTTATTAAAAGTGGATAAGCTACTATGTCGCATAAATCTGAAAGACTATAGTTCAACTTTCATTAAAGCCATTAGTTATTAACATTTCAACATAAATGTGTTCATAATGCATCAAATGGTCACTGATATAATATTTTATTATATCAGTGAATGTTTCACCGCATTATGTATAATCCTGATATCGGATCACACATTTTTTCCATAAATGTGTTCATTTGTTGATGTTTCCTCAAGGTCTTGGTCACATGTTATCAATTGCATGTATTTCAGAGACTCGATTGTGCTTAATTCACTTTTTATCTCTCTGTAAAGCATACTCAAACATACTACGCATGCTATTATAGTTTTTCACACCCCTTCTCAGAAATACGATGGCAAATGTGCCATGTCATGTGTGTGTTACTCCCGAAAATGGACGTTTGCTCAGTGAATCCATTGTATTCCACTGTGTAAACTTTGATGCAGCAAAGTAGTGAAAAATACATGAAATGCTACATCTAATAATCTTAGGCTCAATTTTAAAGATTTGCCCTTTATCAAAACTAAACACCACACAAAAAGAAAGTACCTCCCCCCCCCAGATATACTGTTGTAAATTCTAAATGAACGAACCCCTGATAATCAATGCAGCATCGACTAGACTTATGGTAACTGCCTTGTCTCAAATTGTTTCCGAATTTAAAAATATCTAATTTCAAAATTGACATTCAAAGGTGGTGTTACTGTAACCAGTTTCACTTGCTATTTTGCAATACTCAAAGTCAGATAATCATATGAAAGAAAGGCAATTGCAATTGGCTTTATAATTTATAAGGTCTGGGTGGAATCAATAAAATCTAGCACTTATGACAATTTAACTCAGGGATCGATCCGGGATGATTTTGTTGGTGAGGTGCTATGGGTTTTTACAAGAATTTGTCTGGTCAGTCCAGTTTGGATTAGATTCAGGTGGCTTCTTTGTGGGTGCCATTATGTCAGTCACTTGTGAGAATTTTTGTGCGTTTGACTTTAGACCCACAGAAATGTGTATTTTAACATTGCTTCAGATCAATAATTCGGTATATTGATATTTCGTTCAGGCAAGGTCTTGGGGGTGCCCACCCACTGCTTCCTCCTCTAGATAAATCCATCCCTTATTTACACTAGGGAGAATGGAACTTTCTCTTTGTGTGGTGTTTATCTTTTATAATTACAATCTCGTGGAACATAGATAGACATGCTGTAATTTTAACTCGATATTTTTCTGATAAAATTGTCACAAACCATTGTCAGCGTGACAATACTTTATTTCAGAACAACATGTAAATACATCATCATTAAGAAAAAGGAAACCCAGAGGTTAGCCCTATATCAAGGGTCTCGTATTTATGTAAAAAATCTTACAGAACTAGTTAATAAAAAATAAAAAATAATAAATAAAAAAAAAGTAAATAATAATTAAATAAAAAAAAGTCAAATAAGAAACAGCTAAATATCAATTAACTGACGATTCAATAAATATTCATGTTTTTCTTCAATTGTTGGAATTTTATTAAACAAAAAGAATGATAGCACAGCGCTATAACCAACAACTACAAACAATAACGACCTTATCTAACAACATTTGAGAAAATTAACCTTCCACTCCTCTTCCTTGTAAACCAGACAAGTCTACTCAAAAGCAGAGAGCCTTATACGCTTCAAGTCCCGGGCTTGTGACCGGTATAGCAGAGTTAAAAGGTGAAAGGTTTATCATAGATTAATCAACTGAATATTCCTGCTCATTTTTTGTTCGGAAGCATGTTGAACAGTTCATATGGACAAAGCTCGAATTCCATATTAAATATCAGTAACATAATCCGGTGTTAATGTTAGACAATACATCATTGCCCTTCAGTGAAAGCATCCCGCTTTCCACACAGCCCACTATTTTCTTATGATTCGGGCACTCCATTGGCCCAACGCTGTTTCCACAATAGTTATGTTTCATATTTTTCGCAGTTTCTCGCTGAAAGATGTCGGGTAAGGTGATACCGATCAAGGTTGCGTTGAGGATTCGCCCTTTAAACTCAAAGGAAGTAAGCGAAGGTTGCCGAGAATGTATCGAAGTTGTCCCGAATGAGCCACAAGTAGTCATCGGCAGCGACAAACCTTTTACGTTCGATGATGTATTCGGTTTAACCTCTCGACAACAGGAGCTATACGAGCAAGCTGTTATGCCGTTGATGGATACATATTTCAACGGATATAATGTTACAGTTCTTGCCTACGGTCAGACTGGCTCTGGAAAAACGTACTCCATGGGAACTTGCGCGACCATCAACACGTCAAACGCGGACGACGAATTGAGCAACGCGGTCATTCCTCGAGTGATCCAGGAGATTTTCGCAAGAATCGAAAGTCTGAAAGAAAAATCTGACTTTCTGGTCAAGGTTTCTTTTAGAGGTCGAGTTTAGCCCAAGATATGTTGATATTTCCACACGGTTGAAGTTAATGTCGCGATTTTGTGCAAAATAGATTTTCAAAGTGCTACTCAGCTTTTTTGAATGCTGTTCTTAACCGAAACAGTTCTAACATGACCACGTCCACCACCACCATTAAGATTAAGTTTTTGAAACAACTGGAACAGGAGTGACGGGAGATGATATAGGACCCATACCTTCAAAAATGTTACAAACTGATGTAGTGTCGATCCATTTTTCTTCCTCTATAAGTTTCACTGCATTGACTTGTAATTATATATTTTCTCAAATCTACCAGTTTTTAGGAATTATGAGAATGGTGATTGCAGTTTCTTCAATCCACGTTTCACGCCCATGTGATGCCCGTACGTTTCTTGAACATCTGCTTTGTGTTTTACTATTGTAATATAAAATAGTTCGAGATGAGGCATTTAGGTCCTTATGGCTTTCGTCAGTATAATTAGGATTAATAAAGTTGGTAAAATTTGACTCGTAGATTCTGGCAAGATATCAAAAGATTTACTAAATCATGGACAACCAGACGAGGGCTGCAACCGTGAAAGTACTTCTGGCGAGATAAAGGTATCTTTTGCATATACTGCACGCCCAACAGTTAAATAATAGTATACTCAACAGGTTGCTTGCGTCAGTCCTGCTGGAAGAGACTCACAACACCCAAAAAATATGCTGACAGGCGCGAAGATCAAGAAAATAAACCTGTGGTCAATCGTGATGTCGAATTGAATTGATAATGTTTTTCTTCTAAATTATATATAGTTTTGGTTATCACGTAAGTTGAAGTCGTGGTCAGTCGCCACAAATCGCGAACACCCTTCCTGGAAACCTAGACGCCTCTCGAAGCCGATAAGTAACCTTGGAGGGCCCAGACGAAAGATTTCGAATTCACTCGCACAAAATAAAAAAACTTTTGAATACCAGTAAAAGTATGGCGGATATTTCTACACCCAAGAAAGTGCCGCCAATGAAGAGGCTAGGAAAATCATCTTCGCATGTCATGACCACCGACCGACCTCGGAAAATCATCTTCGCATGACAAATCAAATGAAGAATAATCAAATCAAAGTTTTGGTTATCCCATGAAATCGAACTGATGGTCAGCGTTAATGAAGCTCGCTCTTCTTTAAAGAAGTCATAGAAGATAGAAAAGACCTTATCTCAGCAAAGTTTTCTCCTGAAGTCGAAATTGCAGGAAAAAATGGACGAACCGTCTTGCAAGGTATGGAAGTAATGGTTTGACGTGCTGCCAAATATCCTCAAAATTAACAGATAAAAGTGGTTCTGCTGCAAATTAGAGTTTCTCTTATTCTCCGTCTAATTCACCCAGACCTTTAAACAAGTTTGGATAAGTAACTTTATTTCTTCTTCCATATCACTTGCATCATTTGACTGAATCGCTTCGACTGTCGCTATTAGATCAAGGGCATTGATAGCTGGACGTCCCAACAATGGCTCTTTAAAAATTTTTCACTATATAAATATCTTGTTCTGTTGTTTTGAGTAGCAGTTCTCAATGTTGCTCAATTTTTCCTTTACTGACAGCTTTGCTTGATTTGTGAACAATTCTTTATTAGTTGCATCCGAGTTATGCCTGTTTGCATAAATACCGGTTCTGGAATCACCGTCCATAAGCGCCCGTATCAATCTTAAATTTCACTATAGACTTTCTAATAATAAGTCGATTGCCCATTTTCGCTCATTTTCTATATCGTTAATTGTCCCAAGAAAAAAATCTCCTGGGGAATCCGTGCTTTTGTCATCAACTGATTGAATTTTTGCGCTTGAGTTACTTCTGCATACCGCTGCAAAATGCCCTTGTTTATTACACTTTAAACAAGTTTATTGTTCGCTGGACAATCCTCTCTTTTTGTGAATTGTTGATCTTCCACATCGAGAACATTGACGGTTTTCTTTCTCGAATGTTGATCGGGACTCCTATTCTGATTCCATTTAACTTCGATTTTTGTGTCGTATCATTACATTTTCGTTGATTTGTTCTTACGCGATCAATCTGCCATTTCGCTGTCTCCTTTAGAATATCGTGATGGCGCTTGACAAGCTCCGATGACCTCCCTTATAGCTTTCTCCAATGTTAATTTATCATGTAGCCTTTGTGGGGTTTGCATTTTGTATACCGACGACAATTCTGTCTCGTATCAACTCGTCTTTCAGTGTTCCAATTGGCAAGTTTCCATGGTTTGTACAAATCTTCCACAAAGTCGAGGACTGATTCTTTTTCACCCTGTATTCGTTTATTGAACCGATCACGCTCGAAAATTGTGTTCGATCGACCAACAAAGTGAGATGCAAATTGTTCTGCAACATTTCCGTAGACCATATCTCTTTCGCTTAAATTGAAAGTTTTTTAAAAGATCATTGGTATTGCCTCCCATAGCATATACCAAAGTATTGATTTGTACTTTATCATCTTTTTCGTCTAAGCCAGCTGCGATGCGATAACATTCGAATTGTTCAATCCATCGCTTCCAATCTACGGGCTTTTTCGATTCTAATTTTCCTGGCAATGGAATTTGTGTTTGAAATGCCATTTCTTATTTATCTCCACGTCTCTTGTCCACTGGTCTTTACCATTTTAGACAGAATCCCATTGCTGCCAACATGTAGAGTTTTTATTAAGTGCTCGCTTGTCTAAATGTCCTCTATATATATACATTATAAGCGGAAGTAATATTCAACAGGAAGTATCACACACACGCGTCACAGGAAAGCATGAAATATGCGAAATCCGAAAGCAAATACAGGCTTTGGAAGTGATTTGGAGAAGTGAGAGTCCATGGTGTGCAATTTATCGGCGGTATGAGGATGTACAAACTCCGGTTTTAAGCTCCGGCTGCGGCCTCTTATCAAAATTTGAAGCTCCGGCTGTTATAACTCGAATCCCTGATTGTGGCTGGTTGATTTTGAAATTCGCTGTTCAACAGTTTAGGTGTATTATTAGTGAAATTTTTGTATGTAAGTTAAATTTCCGTACTCCGACTTTGGTCATGAATTAGCGAACGCAATCTAGCGTTGTGTCATGCATAAAATGTTTTATGTTCATGCAATGCAAGTTTTTCAATTTTAGCTGATAGTTATTGTTCGTAGAGACAAAAATATTTTGATCGGACTCGTTTACCAAACTTTGACAGTATTTTGCAGCACAAACAACTGCTGCCCGGAGTTTTGCCGGAAATGGACAAACTCCGGGTCTCTCCGGCAGGCATAAATAGCCGGAGCTCCGGCCTCCAGTACTCCGATGCATAGCTTTCGGCATTTATCGGCAATATCTTATTTAACATGATGACATTCTGCACATTTTAGGAGTTCACAAATAACGGAATTACAACAGAAGATTATTGACGCCGAGCAAGGTAGCTAAGTATGAGAATACATTACTCCCTCTGTTTTAATTTATCGCCCGACTGATTAAACCTCAGGACGTGTGTTTTCTGTTTCGCTGTGTGTGCTATATTTCCGACTTAACCTCGATTTCACTCACTATTTATAACTTTAGAACTAACGAGTGAAGTCTTAAGAACTTAAGAACTAACGAAATGAAGTCTTAAGAACAAGAACTAACGAGTGAAGTCTTAAGAACTTAAGAACTAACGAGTGAAGTCTTAAGAACTTAAGAACTAACGAGTGAAGTCTTAAGAACTTGGAGGCAACGGTGAAGTCTTAAGAACTTAAGAGCAACGAGTGAAGTCTTAAGAACTTAAGAACTAACGAGTGAAGTCTTAAGAACTTAGAACTAACGAGGTGAAGTCTTCAGAACTTAAGAACTGGCAGGTGAAGTCTTAAGAACTTGGGAACTAACAGTGAGAGTCTTAAGAACAGAACTAACGAGGTGAAGTCTTGGAACATAAGAACTAACGAGTGAAGTCTTGGAACTTAAGAACTAGCGGTGAAGTCTTGGAGAACTTAAGAACTAACGGTGAAGTCTTTGGAACTTAAGACAACAGTGAAGTCTTAAGAACTTAAGAACTAACGAGTGAAGTCTTAAGAACCCAAGAACTAACGAGTGAAGTCTTGGGAACTTAGAACTAACGAGTGAAGTCTTGGAACTTAAGAACTAACAGTGAAGTCTTAGGGACAGAACTAACGAGTGAGAGTCTTAAGAACTTAAGAACTAACGAGTGATCTTAGGAACATAAGAACTAACAGTGAAGTCTTAAGACTTGGAGAACTAACGAGTGAAGTCTTGGGGCACAGAACTAACGAGGTGAAGTCTTAAGAACTTAGAGAACTAACGGTGAAGTCTTGGAACTTGGAACTAACGAGTGAAGTCTTAAGAACTTAAGAACTAACGCAGTGAAGTCTTAAGAACTTAAGAACTAACGAGTGAAGTCTTAAGAACTTTAAGAACTGGTGAAGTCTTAAGAACTTAGAACTAACGAGTGAAGTCTTAAGAACTTAAGAACTAACAGGTGAAGTCTTAAGAACAAGAACTAACAGTGAAGTCTTAAGAACTTAAGAACTAACGAGTGAAGTCTTAAGAACTTAAGAACTAACGAGTGAAGTCTTAAGAACTTAAGAACTAACGAGTGAAGTCTTAAGAACTTAAGAACTAACGAGTGAAGACATTACTGCATAGAAGAGAGTTGATAACAAACATAGCACAATCAAACAGTCTCAGTCAACAAGTTGTTTCTTACATGGCTAGGTTTTTCGAGGAAACAAACCTCAAACAGTTACATTTTTATCAATGCAACCAAACATCACAATAAGTACGTATATAGCGGGCTGCTCTTTGGTCATTGGTGTAAATGCAGCCTCATAACCAACCAATGGAATTGTTAATTGGTTCGTAAAAAAATATACTAACCATAAAATAAATATAGTTGATAACCGGTTGCTCATGCTGATCTCATGTTGGGCTTTTTTAATTTAATAAGCATTCATCTACCAAAGGAAACGCGACGCTATGTTCACGTCTAAATTTAATTTTCTAAATTGTTTATATAATCAAAAATTGTCATTTTTTTTCGTCAAGTTGCTTTCGTTCTCTCACCAATATTGTTAGTGGACTTTTATGTAAGTTTTATAAGGAAGGCTTCCTTCTGCATATTTTGAATTTATCTCTACAAAGGTGACAGAACGAAATATCGATGGAATAACATCCATACGATGGCTGAAGCTAAAGCAGGCCTCAGGTCTTTGTCTAATTGGGTACGTGGACACTTTCACTTTTATGTATTTTAATTGGTTGAAGTGCCTGATTTCTGCGAAATTTGATTTTTGAAATCACCAAAATAACAAAAATATGAATTATGTTTAAAAGTTATTAATTATTAACTATTAATTATGACGTTTAATAAACCGATTTAAAAGTGTTGTAATGGTTCCTGGAAAATTTTCTGCCAAGCTCTCAACTCTATAAGATGTCTGGTAACTATATTCCCAAGTTCCGATACTTTTTCCACCCCGAGTTAGACATCTAGGGGATTGAGATCTAAATCATGTCAGTGAATGCCATAATGAAATCAACCCAGTATTTACTGACTCTTTAACATTTCTAAAAGGTTTTATTTATTTTAGTCCGCTTATGATTGCAGGTGACTGGATCAGACAAAAGTTTGAAACACCTGGAGCATTTGAATTGAACAAGGAAGAAAAACGACGATTACTTGCTAGATTAGTTCGATCAACTGGGTAAATAATGACTTGCACATCCTCAGGTTTTTGATGTAGACATTTTTATGTTTATTGTACCTTGAATCTTTAAATAGATTTGATGCATTTCTTGCAAAGAAATGGTCTTCTGAGAAGAGATTTGGGTTGGAAGGTTGTGAGGTTAGTTTAATAAAGAACAGAAGATAATGCTGTACACATGTACATATAAAGTCTTAGTGTGCATAACTTTTCAGGTGTTAATTCCTGCAATGAAAGAAATTATTGATGTTGCAAGTACTCATGGTATTGAAAGTTTTGTTATTGGTATGCCACATCGTGGACGGCTAAATGTACTTGCAAACGTTTGTCGTAAACCACTTGAACAAATCTTTACTCAGTTCAATCCAAATTTTGAGCCATCAGATGAAGTATGTGAACTTTACACTCTGAATGTTACAACTGTATTGCTTATCTAAGCTTAAACAATACGTTGATTTTTTGACAGGGCTCTGGTGACGTCAAGTATCATCTAGGAATGTCGCACAAGAGAATTAATCGGGTGACAAACAAGGAAATACGTCTTGCTGTTGTTGCTAATCCTTCACATCTTGAAGGTAGTTAAAATTTGGAAGAAAATTATTTTTAACGAAACATACGTAAAGGCGATTAGTTAAATAATATACATTTGAAGAAACAAAATGTGGAAGACAAGATTATCTGCGAAGAAGAAAGTTGAGATAAGTGATATTCTTGTTAAGGAATGCTTTTTCTTTTTAGCGGTGGATCCTGTTGTCCAAGGAAAAACTAAAGCTGAACAATTTTACAAATATGATGATAACGGAAAGAAAGTATTAAAGATTTTATATCTACTAATTTGTATTATAATGCTTTAAATCAAGGAGTATCATAACATGTTTGTACATAGATGTTCATCGTCGAAGTTAGTGTGCACATAGGTATTGAGAGGGATTCTAATGACTGTACACATTACCCCTAACGATCTGAAAACATATGTCAACATCAACACCAACATTTCTTTTAAGGACTGTGCTAACTTTTTCTATCAACATATTTACAAACATATACGTATGTTGTAAAATAGTTCAACTTTGTTTTCTTCTCTAGGTGATGAGTATACTCCTTCATGGGGACGCTGCATTTGCTGGTCAGGGTGTAGTTGATGAAACATTTCATCTTAGCGATCTTCCAAATTATACAACCCATGGAACTATTCATATTATCGTGAACAATCAGGTCGAATATTAATATCTCAAATCGTTGAATGTATTTATCTTTTTGGCGATGTAATGATTCTTTGTTGCTGTAAAATATGATTCACTTTAGATTGGTTTTACGACAGACCCTAGAGTTGTTGCTCGTTCATCGCCATATTGTACAGATGTAGCTAAAGTATGGTTTTCGTCCTTTAAATACATATTAGTATATATTTCTTTTCTTCATATTGTTGAACATGTGAATAAGAATGCATTAATGAAACTTTAAGGTCGTTCAGTGTCCAATATTTCACGTAAACGCTGATCATCCTGAGGCTGTAATGAATGTTTGTCGCACTGCAGCTGAATGGAGGAATGAGTTTGGAAAGGATGTTGTCATTGATCTTGTAGGTAACTGTATTAACCAGTTATATTTTAATGGAAAAATACTTATTGTACAGTTGTATCCCATGCGTTGATTTTTTGTTGGTAAAAAAATGCTCTTTTGACTCAATTGATATTTTCAACCTTGTTCGATATATTTTGAAAAAATGGCGATATCTCATTATGGATATAGTATGCAAAAAAAAAATTTGCATAATGAAAATATGGCATTCTACCTCACCATTGCTACGTCACTACGGGATTACATGAGATTGCGCCAGCGATCACAACTTCAATGTAAAGGTGAACACAACGAGATAGGACGCTTTTGTATTTGCCATTGTAATATTAATATATTTTGGGCAATCGTTTTGCATCGGGGAATTTACAGCAAGCAATCTTGCTGTTTCCCACTCTTACTACGATACAGGTCGACGTAATCGTCAATTTAAACTATTTTTCTGCTCATTTTGTTGTTTTTTTTCTTCGCAATCGACCGAAAACGCATGGCGGCGGAAGGTGAAACCGGCCATGAAGTCTTAGACTCGTCTGGCTCGGAAAATGAACGAGATGAAAGTCGTAATAACCGACGGATTAAAACATCATCTGATATACCATCGACAAGTGATGACGGTAGGGATATGGGACGAGATATAATTGCAATGCAACAAGTCCTAACTGATGGTCTTCAGCGAGGTTTTTTCTAAGCTTACGGAGGCTATTGCTTCGCAGTTAAGCAACGCTACCAAACAGGGGCGCACTAGGACTCGCTCAGCATCAGAGTCATCGGACTCCGTGGCATCAGTAGCATCGGAAACGCGAAAAGCTACTAAAAGAGCGCGTCGTGAGTCAACAGGTGATGTTGACGTGGAAGTTGACGAATTGTTAGCAGGGAATGATCCCAACACTACATCGAATGTTGCCTCTGCTCAAAATGAGGAGGATGTTCTAGGCTCAATAGCTGAAGAATACAACCTTGACGAACAATGTGCTGAAGAGGTTAATCCTAAACTAGCAAGCATTGTTAACAAAATGGTGCGTAACAGATTAACCGATGAAAACTTAAAGAAAAATTGACACAGAGTACTCGGCCCACAAACTGCGAGAACATTGTAGGCACTAAAATCAACCCTGAAATTTGGCCGAAATTGAAGTCAAGCACTCGGAGTCGAGATATTAAATTACAAAGGGTGCAAAATATGTTACTGAAGGCTAGCATTCCGGTGGTTAAAGTTATCCACAAACTCATGCAGGCTGATTCATCTCAACTTGAGGATAATAAATCAATGATAAGGAGTCTAATGGACTCTATGGCCATTCTGGGACATACTAATTATGAGTTCGTGCAAAGACGTAGAGAACTGATGACCAGACCTTAATGATAAATATCAGCAACTTTGTGGTGAACATATTGAGTTCACAAACTGGCTATTTGGGGATGATTTACCCAAACAAGTGCAGGATATTAGTGCCACCAATCGAGTAAGCCAACAGCTGGCTAGTTCCCGACAATATGATCGGCAGAATGGAACGGGCTCCTACTCCAGGCACTCACATCGCCCAAGGGACCATTATGGTCAGAATTTTCGGCAGGGCCCTCGATGGCACAAACCCCCATACCGGGGAAAGAAAAGGCACCAAAAAGACTGCCAGAAACAGCAATGACATCTACCCAATATAAGTTGGTAAGTCAAAATTCAGCCTCTAGTTTTATAGCGGGGCGACTTCAATGTTTTTATAATAAGTGGGAAAACTTAACAACTGACTCATTCATTTTGAATATTGTGAAAGGTTGTAAAATTGATTTACTTCAACAACCTTCCCAAATGCATGTTTCTAAACAGAAACAGTTTTCAGCAAAAGAAGCCTCCTTCATTGAAGCTGAAATCTCTAAGTTGTTAGCAAAGCAGGTTATTATACCTAGTCATCATGAGAAGGGGAATATATTTCTACTATTTTCTTGACCCCAAGAAAGATGGGTCATTTCGTCTGATACTAAATTTAAAGAGATTTAACAAATTTGTGCGCTACCAACATTTTAAGATGGAATCACTTAAGCAGGTTATTCAAATGATAAAACCGGATTGTTTCATGGCTTCACTGGATATCAGGGATGCGTATTATTCTGTAGCTATTCATGAGTCCCACCAAAAGTATCTTAAATTTCACTTTAAGGGACAGTTATACCAATTTACTTGTATGCCCAATGGTCTTGCATGTGCCCCACGGTTGTTTACCAAGCTACTAAAACCAGTTTATGGTCATTTTGAGCACAGGGCTTATTATCAGTGGGATATATTGATGATTCCTATTTACAAGGGTATAGCTATGACGATTGTCGTCATAATGTTTCTACCACCTCCACGTTTTTATCTGAACTGGGTTTTTGCGTTCATGAAGAGAAGTCAAATTTCATCCCATCGCAAGAAATAGAATTCTTGGGATTTTTATTAAATTCTAAACTAATGATTGTTAGTTTGACGCCCAACAAGTCGCGGCGGTTAAAGCAAGCTTGTGAAAAACTCATGACACAAACTCAACCTTCCATAAGGGAAGTATCTGAAGTTATAGGAATCTTAGTGGCCAGTTTTCCAGGAGTAGAAATGGGCCCTTTATTTTACAGACAACTGGAGAATGATAAAATTTCAGCACTTAAGGCCTGCAGGGGCCATTATGATGAGGTTATGACACCTTCCAAAACCAGTCTGGCTGATTTGCGATGGTGGGCGGATAATATAGAAACCACTTATAAGACAATTTCAAAGCCTAAGCCTGAGTACACACTGTTTACTGATGCCTCATTGCTTGGCTGGGAGCAAATTTCCAGGGAAAGTCTGCAGGAGGGCAGTGGTTACCCACTGAAGCTGTGCAACACATTAACTATCTGGAAATGTCTGCAGTCCTTTTGGGTTTACAAACCTTTTGTTCTAGTTTGTCCAATACACATATTTGCCTAAAAAACCGACAACACAACTGCAGTGTCATATATAAATAATATGGGGGGAAGTCAATCATTTCAATGCAATGCCAAAGCTAGGGAAATATGGATTTGGTGCATTCAAAACAGCATTTGGCTTACTGCAGTACACTTACCAGGCAAGTTTAATGGGGAAGCAGATAAAGCTTCTCGAGTTTTTTCATGACCAAACAGAATGGCAGTTGAATCCTAGCATGTATCAGTATATTGTTCAGTTTTTCGCATTTCAACCGGATATTGATTTATTTGCTTCAAGGCTCAATTATCAGATACAACCTTATATTTCATGGAATCCTGACCCAGGAGCCTTTGCAATTGACGCATTTACGTTTGACTGGACTAATCGTCGATTTTATGCTTTTCCACCTTTCTCTTTATTGGGCAGGGTGCTACAGAAAATAGAACAAGATCAAGCTACAGGAATATTAATTGTCCCAGATTGGAACACACAACCATGGTATCCCATTCTCCGGAAGATGCTACTCCAAGAACCGCTGTTGTTGCCTTACCAGAAGGACATTCTAATATTGCCCTACAAACCAGGGTTCAACATCCTCTGTCACAGAGATTACGACTGATGGCCTGCAGTTTATCCGGCAATCAATCGAAAGTACAGGAATCTCACCAGAGGCCACTGAAATATTAATGTGTTCTTGGCGTAAGTCAACCCGGCAGCAGTACAAGGGATACTTGGAACGATGGACACGATTTTGTTTAAAAAATGGGTTTCAACCATGTGCCCCACAGATCAATGAGGTAATTGATTATTTATTATCCTTGTTCAAGTCCGGTTTGGGATATAGTGGCATAAATACAGCACGTAGTGCCCTTTCATCGGTTCTCTCATTGCACGACGGCGTTTCTCTTGGATCTCACCCTTTGGTCATCAGATTTATGAAAGGGGTATTTGAACAAAGACCAAGTTTGCCAAGATACACAGCTACTTGGGACGTCAATATTGTGCTTAGCTATTTTAAGGCGCTACCTTTGGCTGAACACCTGTCACTAAAGGAACTTACATTAAAGTTGGCAAGCTTGCTGGTGATATTGTCTGGGCAGCGACTGCAAACAATTCATCTGTTGCATATTGATCACATGATATTGCAGGAAAACAAAGTTATTTTCCAAGTCAAAGGGCTGGTGAAGCAGTCAAAACCCGGCAGGCACATAAAGGATTTAGAGTTTGAGGTATACACACCGGATGAGAGATTATGTGTTGTCCTATGCCTTAAAGAATATCTTAAGCGGACTTCCGTCATTCGAGGACAACAAAAACAGCTATTGTTGAGTTTTGTTAAACCCCATTCTGCGGTATCCAAGGACACTTTGAGTCGGTGGATCAAAACAATAATGGAAAAGGCTGGGGTAGATATGAACATTTTAAAACACATAGCACACGTTCAGCTTCTACGTCTGCAGCATCACTATTGGGAGTGAATATTCAAACTATAATGAATACGGCTGGCTGGACTAATGCACGAACTTTTGCAAAATTTTATCATAAACCAATTGAGGGTTTAGCTAATTTTAGTCAGGCATTACTGCACAATGTTATTTAAAATTTATTTTTGTTTTGTTAGAGTATAAAATTAGTTATGACTGGTACTGGTTTGGTTCATTCAGTTGTCTCATATCATTGGTACTTTAAAGTCTCATGTAATCCCGTAGTGACGTAGCAATGGTGAGGTAGAATTAAAAATTAAACGAGCTTACCTGTAAGTGAAGTTTGATTGGGATTCTACCGATCCATTGCGAGAACGAAGGGATTATATATATATGGATTTACTCTTTGTTATGTAATAGATATTAGTACTGTGTAGATTATTGCCGATTGTAAATGGCTGCTAACCCCGACCCAAGGTTATAATGATATTCGACAAGCGTTAAATATTGAAGTTGTGATCGCTGGCGCAATCTCATGTAATCCCTTCGTTCCTCGCAATGGATCGGTAGAATCCCAATCAAACTTCACTTACAGGTAAGCTCGTTTAATTTTTAATTATGCATATAGATAGTATGCAAAAAAATTTGCATAATGAAAATTTACATAATCATAACCAATAGATGAGGTAAGCGTTTATTTTTTATTTTTCTTTAACTATAAATTTAGTGATTATTTGTTTATTTTTTAGAATGAGTAGAAGTCTACATATTCGATTTGATAATATCAATGTTGACGGATTTGAGATTATTGACGCTTGTCTACCAACATACCTATAACATTATACGAAAAACATCATTACGCACAATGTGAGAGATTAGGGGTTGCTAAAGCATATAAAGATTCATTACATCCAACTATACAACTTGTTATGATGCATGATAAGTTTTTTATACTCAACTGACCTATTCTTGATATATATGTTTTATATGTTGTTATATTGTAGATTAATTTTGTGGATGCATTGTTACTTTGCATATCATTATTTCATGTTTTCTTGTATTGTAGATCCAACATGGATGGAGTTGTGAAAGTCCCTTTGCCACCTGTGTCCTTTGCTTCAATTACTCTTACTAGTTTTTCATTACGAATGTGTCATGGTGATTCATGGCCAAGATTGTTTATGTGTAGTTTTGATTCATTCTTGATGTCAGTTATTTGTTCATATAATAATGATGGGCCCCATTGTTATATGAGCCCACCTGTAGGTGGTCAGCTGATAATCAAAGATGATCCACTCTGCACTAAACAATCTTTAAGTGATGATATAACTGGGGTATTGAAGTCCCTTTTCCTTTCCTCGAAGTTGTGTATATAATATATCTACTTTCAACTTCATATCAACTTCAACTTCACTCATATCATGCTAAAAGTATATGGATATTAGATATTGTCTATAATTGCTTGTTGTGAAATTATTAAATTTCTGTTGAAACAATTATTTTAACAGCTAATTGATTCATTATTTGTATTATTAATTATATTATCAATTATATCATTAATTATATTATTTCTTTGAAAGTATTGTAATGAATGTAATTAGTTTTGGTTATTCTGACACAAGTAACATTGTATTGCTTCTTTCATCTTCATATTATGTACTTATGTTTGCTATGTACTGTGTCTGTGTTTTTCTACATAATTTAAATATAGATAAACCGTTTATTAAGATTATAAATTGTGTTATGTGTATAGATAGTTTTAACTAAGATAATATTATAATACTGCTGTAATCATCAAAATAAATGAATAGATTCTATCTAGTTTGGACAAATGATAGTTGCTGCAAAAGAATGGACAAATATCAAAATAAAAACTAATGTAATATGAATAAATTATGTTACTGAATGATATTTTAAATTTGATGCAGACTGATCTATAAAATCAACTGGAGTAGTGATTCAGGGGGGATTAACAAAGTATGTTACACGACGAGATTGAAGCTGTGTTATTTGAATACATACATGTTAGTTAGTATGGTAGTGTGGTATGGCGGCAGCCATCATGTTGTTTGTGATCTATAAAAGTTTTAACACTTTATGTCATTTTATTACATGACAGAAGATCAAATTGAAAAGCATATCCTTATCAATTTAGGGCTAGTTTTGAGCTTAAATTATGCTGATCTTAAGAGAATATTTGGAGTTAAGTAGGTCGGAAGTCTGCAAGAGAAGTAAGTGTGTTTTGTTTGTTGTATTTATAGCAAAAGGCCATTATTTTTTGTGAAGACAATTAGTTGATTTGTCTGTTGTGTTTTCTCAGGAATTTTACTTTTTCTTAAACGTTTTCAGTTACACTTCATTGTTTAGATATATTTTTATTTAGACAATCTAAAAAGGAGTAAGTTTAACCTAATTTTTAATCCGAGTTTCGATTCAAATCGGAAAATTTTGAAATTTCGTGTTGTTGACTTGCGAAGTATAATTGATAGATGGCATTGTACCCCCATCAATTTATGCCTTTCACCAGGCAGAAATATTAAAGTAATGACTGAATGACGGAAATCAGTTGATGTGAGATAAAGTGCTCTCTTGTGATATTGATTGTTGAAATTGATTGATAATGAATAATAGCCGAATCTCTGTAGAAATATAAAATGAACTCTAACTACAAAATTGTTTAGTAGATAGAACAACTTTCATGTTATCAAGCGCGGAGAACCATGTACTATTTAGTTATTGAGCATTACACATAATGGTAAATGTCTTAAAAAAAATTTTTTAAAGTGAGTAATATACGTTTGCTGTTTCCGGTTGAACAATAGAAAATTATCACAAATAACTGAATTTTTACTATGGAATTTTTTGAGATTGGTTTACTTTTGTTTTATTATAGTAGTAGATAGATGACTTATTTCGAGTCTTAATTTCTTGACCTACATGCAGTAATGTAATTTTTATTCACCGAGAATTGTACCCTGACAATTACACATTAAACGTAAGAATACAATTTGGCTCTCGCCTTTCACTCACAACAAAGTCTGGAACGAGATAAAGCGAAGTACATAATTGCATTGCACGCCAGCAAAATTTGACGTTTGAAATCCACGGTCAAATTTTACATTTTGGTCGAATAAAATTGCTTATTGTATTCGTTCAACACATGCAAAATTCGACGTTTGAAACAGGCCTAAGTTACACCCACCAAAATGACAAGTTTGACAGCTGATGACAATCATTTATATTTGGATATGCAATGCTTGGCTTGGTTAACGGTACCTCTGCAAGTGGTCGGTCGTCGTAGGCGTTGTGTGATAATTAAATTAAAGAAGCAAGCAAACTCACCGCAATTTTATTCAGGCGAGAAGAAGGTTTGATGCTTTTCATATGATCATGTGAGACTTTTCACGTGTAAAACATAACAGAAAGCGATTGTTTAATTTACATTTTGATCTCGCATGTTCCCGTCCATGTAAAAACCACGAATCTATAATTTTATGGAAAGCGTTGCGAAAACTTTTTTTATGTTTGTTTGACAATATATACAGAGAGAAGAAAGAATGACTAGCTTAGCAGCTTTTGCAGCAAAACGTGTAAAGTAACTTGGACTGTGAGATAATGGCTTCCCACATGTCTCATTTTGCTTCCTTTGAACATAACACTTTTTATATTTAGTTTGATGAACTTCTAACAAGCAATTGGCAGAGAAGAAAGGGATCCGTTTTCAAACTGTGAATTTGTTAATTTATGGAAAGTATTGGTGATTTTCTTATGCGCCTTGCTGATGGACTCCTTACAAAATAATATCATTGGATTCTCGTTGCTACATTTGTTATTCCCTTAAGACACACATGACAACCAAGAATTGCTGTTGTCAAAATTATTTTTATTGTTTGCCTGACGAGATGAAGACAAGAAAGAGCTTTGGCTGAAAAACGTGAAAAGTAAATTTGGAATGTGATATATATTGACGTCGGACATTTCTCGTTTTGCTTGTTTTGCAAACACAACTCTATATTTAGGCAATGTTACAATTCGTTCGTTGAAGTTTGGTGAAGAAGCCATTATCTTTAAAGCGATGTGGTAAGTTTATGTCATGTTTGTATATCTTTAGATAATTCTTGGCTCGATATTTTTAATCAATCGTATTTAGCAGACAGATATAATCAACAACAACTCGATTTTCACGTTTGCCAGCGTCAGGAATACGTCTAAAAAGAAATATTGTGATGAAAGTCATCTCGTAAAAATCTATTGTATTTAATTATTGGTAGAAGATTTTCTTCGACGTTTCCACCAGGTGCTGGTTCAGTTCATTGAAAGTTCCGTTTATTCAAAACCATTTGAAATATGCGACAAGGAGAAATACTGTGCGGCGCGTTTCGCATCAATATTCATTCAATTGCTTCAAGGTAGTAAGAATAATCGCGATTATTTAAGCGTCAATAAATAGATTTATAGAGTAATAATATGTGCATTAAAAGAAGAAATTCTCGTTGTAGTTTTGTCACAGCCACAAACGAAGAATAATGTTTACGAAGCTCAAAGCCACATGTTGTAAGTACTTTGTTCATTACTACTCATTTATTAGCGGAAAGCTAAGCTGTTGTGAATAACGCAACTTACATGATGCTCTATAATAACGAGAAAAATATAAATTTTTGAACTGAAACTGAATGTGATCTTTAGAAAAGTGTAAAGATGTTTATAGAAAGTCACAAAGATTTCATCATTGAATGCGGCTTTCATGGCTTAAAATATAATCAGAAACTGGTTTCAAACACATTCTTTTTCTTTAAAAGATGTTGAGCAGTAAAAGAAAATATACGGTTTACTGATTGAGAAAGAAGATCTGTAAGGCTACTAACTAATAACTTGCGGTTTCTCTGGCATAAAAAGGAATGAACAATTACAATTTTACCAGTTTCGGTTTTCACACACGGTTTTTTTTAATTGTGAAATATTCTGTCTAATGCGAAATGTTGTCCATCTACAACAAAATTCCCGGTAAAAGAGACTAAGCACTTATCAATGCTTTACAAAAAGTCAACTTGGAAGAAAGATTAAAGAAAAGCCGTTGTTGGGGCGTGGTACGGATTGAATATTTTCAATTTTATATGATGAATTTAAACTTGCAAATTGGACGTTGCACTTTTGCAGCAACTACGGTGGCTGTTAAGTTTGTTTGACTGTGATTTCAAAGTATACTGTGAATTTGATAATTTTTGCAAAGTATTGGTATTGGCTTTCATGCGACAATTATGATTGTTTGTCTGATGAGATGAAGGCAAAGAAGAGCAACTTTAAGGAGAACTGACATTTCTCGTTTTGCTTCCTTTAGAAGAAGAAGCCATTATCTATAAAGTTGAAAGCGATGTGCTAACAACTTGATTTTCACGTTTGCCAGCGTCAGGAATACTTCAAAAAAGGTATTGTGATGAAAATCACCTCGTAAAAATCGTATTGTATTTAATTATTGGTGGAAGATTTTCTTCGACATTTCCGACGTTTATTCAAAACCATTTGAAATATGCAACAATGGACAAATACTCAGCAGCCCCTTGCTCCATCCTCAAAAAATAGATTTATAGAGCAATATACATTAAAAGAAGAAATTCTCGTTTTAGTTTTGACACCGCCATATACGAAGTATAATGTTTACGAAGCGCAAAGCCACATGTTGTAAGTAGTTTGCTCATTGTTACTCCTTTATTAGCAGAAAGCCAAACCGTTATAAATAGCGCAACTTACACAATGCTTTATATTTACGAAAGAAATTTGTATTTTGAAACTGAAAGTGAATGTGATCTTTTGAAAAGTGTAAAGATGTTTATAGATAGATAGTCACAAAGATTTCATCATCAAACGCGGCTTTCATGACTTTAATTAAAACTGGTGTTTTCGGCACACATTGTTTGTATGAAATGATAATTTTATATTTTTTTCTGTGTTTGAACTATAATGAGCAAAACGAAGGCTTTTAAGAATATGTTGTCTTGCAATAAAAATACACACACTTTGAAACAGTTACTGTTGTTGGTCATTAGTTGATAGTTAATAATGAAACGTATCATTTAATACTAATTATTTCGCTTTTTAATTCCTGTTATTTTGATGATTGTTTTAGGTGACAAGCTGATGAAATCGCTTAAGTATCTGTTCAAGGATTATCGACCGTGGGAGTAATTATTAAAATGTTTTTTTTTCTCATTCCTTTTTTGCTTTAGATGATCATCGTGTGGTACAAGGCCTGCTCCTTTTCCCTCCCTTTAGCTAGGTGCGCTGAGAGAAGGTCCCTGACAAAGGACGGGTTGCGTGTTCTTCGGAGCTCGCTTTAACGTAACGTGGTCATGTCGGACTAGAGCGCCCCATTAGGCTCCACAATGAAATTTTCTGATAAAGATACATTCTTAGATAATTAAGTCAAGCAGTTAAGTTAAGAAAATTTTCTTTGTTTGTCTGAGGAGCAAGATAAAAGGGTCTATGTTATTGTGTGTAGTTGGTGTCATTGTAAGGTTTAAGCTGGTGAGTTTACAAATGTTTGGATAAGGTTTGGACGAGGAACCACCTTAGCCTTGAAGGTCAATACGGGGACATGTATCTTTGCCAAGACGTCAACAAATCCATTAAGCCCACTTCCATCTCAGCAACAATGAAAGAAACTTGCGTTGCTGAGGTAAGTTTGCTTGTTTGCAGTTCTGTATTAATTATCGTTAATTGTATGTTGTTGTTTTTTTCAGCTCTGCTGGCTGGGTGGCGTCACCGCACATTGACCCAGCTACCCAATGACTTCCCTGAATTTTCATTATGTGAAAACTGAAAAAAAAAGAATGATTGTGCATGCATGAAGGTATTGGTACCAACCAAGTAAGAGCATTACAACTTGTTACTACTTGTACCAAAATGACAAAAAGATTTATTAACAATTGTGATTTTTCTGAACAATGATGAAAGTGCATGTCAACTTCTTTAACAGAAGGGGAGTTAAAAAGCCGGTCAAATTGCAACTAAGCATTTGTGGGGAGTGCTTAGTTAACAATTTCAATTTCTGATTTTGCCATTGTATGTATTATTTTGTTTTTGCTTGTGAGTAAGTAACAAATTGTAATACTCAAGGTTAGGGTGAAATTCTTCATTGACAAAAAAAATTCTCAACAATGTTAAAAAAATTTAATGTTAAAATTTTTTTGATTACATATTTCGACAATGTTTCACTTCTGACCATATAATTCCAAAATGTTTCATTTTTTAACACATGTTTCGAAAGTATATCATAAAAACATAAGGCATGCGCAGAATACGACGGCGGGGAGGTGGTACTGTCACACGCCGGACTATGGATATACCTCTCTCTCGATCCCGATCTTAGTTAGGTTACGGAATAGGCTCCTTATCGTGCAGGCCGAGAAGATAGAGAAGAATAAAAGGGAAGTTGTTATTTCTGTATTTCTTATGACTGTTTTGATTTCTTCCTAATTGTATTTTGTCTCTTTAAGCACTTTTTGTTTAAGCTCATGCAAAATGAAGAAGGTGATGGATTTCGTTTGTGTGTGGACTCCCTTATGAGAAAGAAGAACATGCTGCAATAAATGAAAGGAGTTGTAACGTCAAAAACTGGTTGGTTGTTGAAATTGTTGTTGTAATTGTTTACATGAGTTTATTTACATTCATGAATAATATACTTGAGATGATATTTCTTTTTCTTTGCTTAATCATTTCAGAAATGAAAGCAACTAAAGCTGTGATGCAAATCAATGGCGGAGCTAAATGACAATGAGGGGTAAATTACTCTGAAAAAAGCGTACGAAGATTTCCTAGGTTGTTGAAATATAGAAAATTTCCAGAGATTTATTTGAGTGATATTTTCTTTTTCGTGTAGAATTTATGAGCTTATGTACTGTTTGAAGAATGAATTATTTCATTTCAGCATGTTTTTTAAAAAAAAATTTCTAACTTTTGGAAATTTCTCAAGAATTTTTATAAATTAGTCCAAAAATATTTGATTTTTTATGACTGTAATTTTTGTTGAATTTTTGTTGATTTTCACCAAGAGTACGATAACTTGGAGTAATTTACCCCGCGGTGATGACAAGAACCAAATGGACTAAAATACAATGAATACGTTTGGACCATCTAAGCAATGGGCTAAAAGAAAAATATGTTGTGAACATCTCTGCAGCTGGACTAAATGACTATTTCAATGAAATGTTGATGTTATTGGGGGAAGAAACTGGGCTAGTCTTTAGAGATTATTGGATGAAGATGAAAACAGATGTTTGTATTTGTGTTATTGTCTCTTCAGATGTTTTTTAAGTACAGACAGTAACGTGGCGACGTTTTTAACGTGGTTCGCCTGTTTGATGACCTGTTTTTGAGAAAAGTTCAAGTGTTTTATGCGATTTTTAACCAAGGAATTGAACTTCTGTTTCAGAGTTTCCTCTCGCACAGGATTATTTTTGCGAATGGTTTCCAGATTAGATGACTCATCGTCAAAGATTGTAAGCAGTGGAGTTCAATGTAATGAACATTGGTGCGCTACAAATGCAAAATGTAAGAAAGAAGTAAAATCAATGGACTCTGGCTGCAAATGGAGTGATTGGGGAAAAAATTGCACGTTGTGTCAGCAGATAATGGACAACAAACATGGTATGTTTTGTTATTGACATATGTATCAATATGCGATTTTTGCTACTTCGTTATATTTTCCATCTAAAATTTCGTCGCACTTTTGCCTTACGATGCTTGTTTTTGATGACAATGCGCTTCTGCGAAACTCTTCAAACCATGAGTTGACTTTGTTGTGTCAATTATTGAAGCGTTGTGTTGTAAATGGTTGTAATTTGCAGATATTGCTTTTGAGATGATTCATCTTCAAAGATTATACATTCTTTTAGTAACATTCTTTTTTGCTATTATTTGAAAACCGACGATGAGCAATTTGAATAATGGTAACGGTATTTTTTTGCGTGTTTGTATATGTTACAACCCAATTTAAACACTATAAATCTTAATTTTTTTACTTCATCAAAATGAAATATGTTTAATATATGTTTTTGTGTTTAAAAATCTATTGGAAACACATTCTATTTTCAGATGCCGATACAAGTGAAATTGAAGTGAAACGATGATAATAATGCTGTTAATGGTAAATTGTTCAAGGAAAACCAGCCCAGAATGATGTTCAGTGAATATTGCTCGTGGTAATAGATATAGTTTGGCTCCACTATAAGTATAATTGTCAATCTAAATAAAGTTGGAAGTTCCCCTTCCTTCCTACTTTATTTAGATGAAGTTTAAGTTAAATGCTTTGTCTGTCAAAATTGCCCCACACAATTTTGATAGATAAATGCAATAAAATAATATTGTAAATTGTCTTTTTGTCAATAGTTTAAAGTAATTATTATACTCCTGTAATGATCATAATGAATTGATAGACTGTAGATAAACACCGGAATAAGAATTGAGTAATATGAATAATTTAAATGATTTACTGAATAATTTGTATAATTTGATGAATATCGTGACCTGTAATATAATCTGCAGTATTAAGTAAGTCAGGGGGGGCCGAAGAAAGTACAGGGAAAGCAGTAAGTTAGGGGGGACGGCGAAGGCAGTACAGTGAAAGCGGCAAGCAAGGAAGGGGTTTGAAGCATTAACGAACTTGGTAAGTCGGGGGGAGGGGAATGATGTGGAAGTCATCTGAATAGATGACGGCCATCTTGTTGTGTGAGAACATTTAATAATGGCTCGGTGGGTTTAATTTGATGCTGAATTGCGTTGATGTTATGAAAAATTCGCAATATTACTTCTGTCGTGAAGTGTGAGGACGGATAAATAAGTGTGCAGCAGATATATAAGCAGAAGTGAACTTCATGATTTAAAATGACTACGACGAGAGGACAAAAGGTAACGCCATGTTTCACATTATTTCTTTTTCAGTTGTTTGCTTTGTTTCCACCTGACAGAAAAGGTGTAAAATGTTCCTTTATGTTTCAAAAAGATTTCTTGCTCAAAGAGTTTAAATAGCTGAATAGTACATGATCACTTTTGAAATTGAAAGTTTCAATGAACATATTTCATAATTGGGAATGACTTCACATTTAATTTATTCATTTCATTTGTTGAACTTTATGAGATATATACAATTTTTTACATTTCTCTTAAAATGTTTCCAATGGGAATCTTTCTTACCAACAAAGAGTGTGGAAACCCTACCTACTTGCCAGATTTTTATAAGAAAGAAGCACAATATTGAAATGCTACTCGTTGATTGAAATCAGGAGGGGAGGAAAACATTTTGAAAGCATGATGAGCCTGCAACTCTGTTTTATACAACGGAATGGCGGGCAAATGAATGTGATCACCTTTGTGTGATCTATTGAAGTTTTTAACATTTTTTGTCGTTTTATCACACGACAGAGAATCAAATTGATATCCCAAAGTAAAATGAGATCTTTGTCAATGTTCGTTTGACCGCAAATTACGTCGACGATAGATAGTAAGGAAAATTCGTTACATTTTATAAGTCGCCAAGTGTGAGGGCACATTGCTGATCGCGGAATAATGCTTTTTAAGTATGAAAAGAATGACAAGAGCTATTTTATGCTGAATTCGTCGTCGCGTCGTCGATATGAGAACTCCGAACGGCTACGTCAAGAGAGGACACTCAAGGTTGTTGTTAAACAGAACAATTCTTTGTTTGTTCCATCCAGCTGACAGAAAAAGCAGATGTGTGGTGTTATTTTGTTATATTTATACCAAAAGGTGATTGGTTTTTGTTGTAAAGACAACAATGTTTTATCTCAATGTATGTTTTATCTCAGAAGTTTATGTTTATGATTCTCTGAGAAACTGCTTAAGAAGGATTTAAAATAAACAAAAAATTTTTTCCCATAAACATTGCTGTTTTACTTACATTAAAGTCATTCATCTTCATTATGAAAATTAAGAATGAAATGTGTAAATTTTTAGTATACTTTTATTAACTAATATGTATCATATACAATGTATCCTCCTATATTATAAATTTGATTGACATTGTAAACAATTTACTTCATTCGCATACTAAAAGATGATGACTTAAACAAGTCGAAACATGTTTATGGTAAAATTGGTGGGTTGTTGTTTCAGAATGAACAATCCAAAAAAGCAACAACAATACAAAACTTCATTTTCATTTTTTAAAAATTTTTTTAATTACTATCTATTGCTTTATCTTTTCATGGTTAACATAATAATATTGATTGTTGTTTATAAATCAATTAGATGAGGATGAGGAATGTCAAGCCATTAAAAATTTATATTCAATCATCTTTGAATCACAAGAATTTTAAATGTAATTTGAATCACAGCCATCCTAAAGTTCAACAAATTACAAAAGAAGAACAGACAGAGTTTTGACATTAAAGTTTAATGGGGAAGATGGTGGTACAGTTACATCAGGTCAGCGGTGTGGCACTATGTATATTATTGTTTGGGTATGTATTTAACTATACATTTACTCATCTACATCTACTCACCTTAAGTTGTAAAGCACTCCCCCTTACTTTTACACCACTCACGCTTCCTTTTACAACACTCACCCTTACTTTTACAACACTCACCTTTAGTTTTAGAAGACTCACCCTTACTTTTATATGACTCACCCTTACTTTTATATGAAACACCCTTACTTTTAGATGACTCACCCTTACTTTTAGATGACTTGCCCTAACTTTTAGATGACTCACCCTTACTTTTAGGTGACTCACCCTTACTTTTAGAAGACACGCCCTCACTTTTAGATGACTCACCCTTACATTTATATGACTCACCCTTACTTTTAGATGATACACCTACTTTTAGATGACTCACCCTTACTTTTAGATGACTCACCCTTACTTTTAGAAGACTCACCCTCACTTTTAGATGACTCACCCTTCCTTTTAGATGATACACCCCTACTTTTAGATGACTCACCCTTACTTTTAGATGACTCACCCTTACTTTTAGAAGACTCACCTCACTTTTAGATGACTCACCCTTCCTTTAGATGACACACCCTTACTTTTAGATGACTCACCCTTACTTTTAGATGACATGCCCTTACTTTTAGATGACTCACCCTTACTTTTAGAAGACACACCGTTATTAATTGACACACCTTTAGTTTTAGAAGACCCACCCTTGCTTTTAAATAACTCACCCTTACCTTTAGATGACTCACCATTAATTTTAGAAAACACACCTTTACTCTTACATCACTCACCCTTACTGTTAGATGACTAAACCTTACTTTTAGAAGACACACCCTTACTTTTAGAAGACACACCCTCACTTTTAGATGACTCACCCTTACTTTTAGATGACACACCCTCACGTTTAGATGACTCACCCTACTTTAGATGACTCACCCAATTTTAGAAGACACACCCTTACTTTAGATTACTCACCCTTACTTTTAGAAGAGACACCCTTACTATTGAAAACACCCCCTTACTTTTAGATGACAAACCCTTACTTTTAGATGACTCACCCTTTCTTTTAAAAGACACACCCTTATTTTTAGAACACTCACCCTTACTTTTAGATTACTCACGCTTCCTTTTAGAAGACTCACCCTTATTTTTAGAAGACTCACCCTTATTTTTAGATGGCACACCCTTACTTTTAGATGACTCACTCTTACTTTTAGATGACTCACGCTTCCTTTTAGAAGACTCACCCTTATTTTTATAAGACTCACCTAGCAAAGGGAATCCAATGATACTATTTTGTAAGGAGTCCATCACCATGGGGCATATAAAAACCACCAATACTTTCCAGAAATAAACAAATTCACAGTTTTGTTTGAAAACGGATCACTTTCTTCTATGCCAGGGGTCTCCAAACTGCGGCCTGCATGCCAGATGCTGCCTGTTTGGCCTCTCAATCTGGCCCACAGAGATACGTAAGAAAAAATAATAATATTATTAAACAAAATAAACTTTGTGCAGAAAGTTCGCGTTATGCCGAATACCAACTAGCAAGAAAAGCTTACGTCAATTTTTGTCCCAACTTCCTACTGAGACATGCCATATTACACTGCAGTAAGATGGCTAAGTGTGGAAAAGTGCCCGGACCCTAGAAACCCAGACCCTGGATTCATGACCCCGGACCCATGACCACAGACCCCAGACTCATGACCTGGGACCCATGACCTATGAGAC